ACTCTTTGGAGATGCTGATCAAGACTGTTCTCATATTCATGTGTAGGACTTGAAAACATATTGAAGGGACATTATTATATTGATTTGGTCAATGTACTATTAATTTTAATAATCCAGAATCATTATCTTTTGGTTATTGTTATTGCCTATATTGGGACTAGACCAAAAATTATTTTCCACATGCACTTGGTTTTATACAAAAATAGATTAATCCCCCCCTTCTGATTTTTGATGGTTTTGTTAGAGTCCTGAGAAATGCAAAGAATCTGTAATTATGTTTAGGGGAGTTATAGCTGCTGAATGGGATTAGTGTATCTGGACGTTGCCCAAGCTATGTTGAAGGCTTCTGTTTTTTATTTTTTAAATCCTCACCTGAGGATATTTTTCCATTTATCTTCAGATTTAATGGGAGGAAGGAAGGGTGGGAGGGAGGGAGGGAGGGGGGAGAGAGAGAAACATTGATGTGAGAGAGGGACATCAATTGGTTGCCTCCCTCAGGACCTCGACCAGGGCCAAGACTGAACCACAATTGAGGTCCGTGCCCTTGACCAGAATGGTATTTGAGACTCTCTGCTCCATAGGCGGACATTCTAACCCCTGAGCCAGTCCGGCCAGGGCGCCTTCTGTTGTTTTAATGATTAGTTTTATTGCTTCTTCAATTGAGGCAGTGAGTATAATGTGCATGTTTCTATTCTATTTTATGTATTTTTATCCTCACCCGAGAATACTTTTTGCATTTATGAGGACATTTTGCATTTATCTTCAGATAGAGCAGGAGGGAGACAGGGAGAAAGAGAGAGAGAGAAATATTGATGTGAGAGAGACACATCGAGTGGTTGCCACCCAACTGGGGCCGGGGACAAACTGCAACTGAGATACATGCCCTTAGCAGGAACCAAACCCGGGCCTCTCTGGTCTGTGGGCCAATGCTATAACTGCTGAGCAAAACCAACCAGGGCATGTGCGTCTTTCTAAAGTTCTCCTTCCAGCCCTGACTGGTTTGGCTCAACGTTTAGAGCGTCGACCTGCGGCCCAGAGAGACCCGGGTTCGCTTCCTGCTAAGGGCACGTACGTCGGTTGCAGTTTGTCCCCGGCCCTGGTTGGTTGTGCGGGTGGCAGCTACTTGATGTGACCCTTTCATGTCGATGTTTCTCTCTCTCTCTCTGTTCCTTTCTCTCCCTCCCATTCTACCTGAACAAAAAATGGGAAAGTGTCCCCTGGTGAGGGTAAAAAAAAAAAAAAAGTTATCCTTCTAGATCATTTTAGCGAGAAAGTAAGATCATGTCTAACACTAGGAAGCAACCTGTTTAATATTTTTTATCCATACCTTTTCTATCCAGAGAAATTCTTTTTATCTATATTATTTACATCTAATCTTCAAAAACAAGTCTCCATTACCACATAGGCTTGGTTGTATAACCTCTCAACTTAAAGTCAGCCCTGCCTGGTGTGGCTTCCACTCTCACATCCATGTTTTTCTCTTTCTAAAAATCAGTAACAAATATATATATATTTTAAAATTCTAAGTCAGTTGTATAACTAAGTTCTCTACCCACCTGAATAGTGGAAATCTCAAAGAAAACTTAGATTAGAGATGAATGATTTTCTCTCTTACAGAAGTGCTGCCATTGCCCAATGTCAGTTTATCTTAAATCTATATATATTTCATAACAGTCCTACTTTTATTTTTATTGATTGATTGATTTTAGAAAGAGAGGGAGAATTGGGAGAGAAAGAGACAAAGACAGACATGTTCTATTTATGTATATATTCATTGCTTGATTCTTATATGTGCACTGCCCTGACCGGGGATTGAACCCATAACCTTCGCAAATCTGAACGATGCTCAAACCAATTGAGCTTACCCGACCAGAGCCTATCTTAAATATTTGACTCTTTTAAAAACATTGTTTAGGTTGACCGATGCTGTTAACTTAGTGTTTAGTTTTTTTTTTCCCCCAGATTTGCATTACTGACAAATTCTTAGATCTATAATTTTCTTGATTCCTGTTGGAATTACCTTCTAATTTCTCCTATCTTTCTTTCCTCTCCTATGATAAGCTAATTATCTACAATAGTTTTTGGACTTCTACCTACTGACACTTTGAAGCACAGAGTGCTAATTAGTAATGAACACTTTTTGAAGTCTATTTGAGCTTTGATATATCTTTTGAGTTATGCCTTGAAATAGCTGTCAGGGTGGGAAGTATAAGGTTGAAAAGTTGAAGATATTTCATTTTCTGCACCAGGGTTAATGAACAAAACCTTGATAATGAATCCAGGTTCATTTCATATATGAAATTATAATTAAGAACCAAAAGTGAGACCTGGAGCTATGTTTTAAATTTTCTTTGGAGCAGTGTTTCCCAGGGAGTTTGAAAATGGGGCATTGTTGGTGTCAGAGTAGCACGGTAGTACTGTTGGCATTAATGGAAGGGAGCCAGGGATACCATATGTCTTGAGTATGGGGACAGTCCTGTACACTGTTTTGTTCTCAGATGCTGTTGATATCACAATTGAGAAACCCTAGAGATAGGACATTAAAGTTTATGCCAGATACATTCATATCATTATGCCTGATGTTATGATATATCATTCATATCATAACAGGCATATTCATGACTTAAACTTATACATTATTCTTTGTGTGTTTTTGAGGTATAATTGACATGCAGTAAACTGCACATATTTGCAAAGTGTTCAAGTTGATAAGTTGGATGTGTATTACACCTGTTGAACCCATCACCACAGTGAAGATAATAAACATATGTATCACACCCGAAAGGTTTCTCTTCCCCTTTGTAGTTCCTCCTGCTTCTCCCCAGTCCCCAGCAATATATGATCTGCTTGCTCTAACTATATATTAGTTTACATTTTGTGGACTTTAATATATATGAAATCATACATTGTGTACTCTTTTTATGCATTCTTTGAACATAATTTGAGATTCATGCATATGTTATTAATAGTATATTTTTATACTATTAATAGTATATTTTAAAAAATTGCTGAATGGTACAACATTGTACAATACAATAATGTGTGTATTCATATTAACCTGTTAATAGACATTTGAGTTGTGTCCACTTTTGGGTTTTTAAAAAGAAAGCTGTTTAAAACTTTTATGTGGATGTATGCTTTCATTTTCTTGGGTAAACACCTAGGAATAGAATAGCTGGATATGATAGGTATATGTGTTATTAAAGAAACCATCCAACTGTTTTCCAAAATGGTTGTATTGTTTTACACCCACCAGCAGATTCTTCACATTCTTGCCAATCTGGATCTGGTCAATCTTTTTAATTTTAGCCATTTTGAGTGTGTAGTGATATCTCATGTTTTTAATTTGTATTTCATCAGTAACTAGTAATGTTGAGCATCTTGTCATGTGTTTATTTGCTATCTGTATATCTGTTTTGGTGAAGTGTTGATTCAAATCTTTTGCCCATTTAAAAAATGTTTGTTTTTTTAATTACTAATTTTTTAAATCCTCACCCAAGGATATTTTTTCATTTATCTTCAGTTAGAGTAGGCGGGAGGGAGAAAGGGAGAGAGAGAGAGAAGGAAAGAAGGAAAAACATCCACCTGAGAGGGCCATATTGACTGGTTGCCTCCTGCACGCCCCCAACCAGGGCTGGGGATAAACCACAACCAAGGTACGTGTCTTTGACCAGAATCAAACCCGAGACTCATTGGTCCACGGGCCAACGCTCTAACCACGGAGCAAAACTGGCAAGGGCTAGTTACTGATTTTTACAAGTCTTTTTCAGATAAGTGCTTTGCACACATTTTCTTTTAGTTGTGGATCATCGTTTCATTCTCTGAACAGTGTCTTTTTAAAAAAATCCTCGAGGAAATTTTTTTTTTTTATCCTCACCCGAGGATATTTTTCCATTTTTTGTACAGATAGAGTGGGAGGGAGAGAGAAGAAGGGAGAGAGAGAGAGAAACATCGACGTGAAGGGACACATCGAGTGGCTGCCACCCACACAACCCAACCAGGGCTGGGGACAAACTGCAACCAAGATCCGCACCCTTAGCGGGAACCGAACCCGGGTCTCTCCAGACCGCAGGCCGACGCTCTAACCGCTGAGCCAAACTGGCCAGGGCTCGGGGAAATTTTTTCATTTATCTTCTGATAGAGTGGGAGGGAGACGGGGGAGAGAGAGAGAGAGAGAGAAACATCAATGGGTTGCCTCCTGCATGACCCAACCAGGGCTGGGGACGGAACTGCAACTGAGGTATGTGCCCTTGACTGTATCAAACCCGAATGAAACCCGAGACTTTTGGGTCCGCGGGCTGATGCTCTAAACGCTGAGCCAAACTGGCCAAGGCCTAACAGTACCTTTTAGAAAACAGAAGTTGTTGCTTTTGATAAAGTCCAATTTATTCATCTGTTCTTTTGTGGATTGTGCTTTTGGTGTCATGTTAGGAATAGTTGCCTAATGTGAGGTCATAAAGATTTTCTCCAGTGTTTTATTATGTAAGTTTTATGGTTTTCGATCATATATTTAAATCAGTGATCTGCCTTGAGATAATTTTTTTTTATGGTACGATATATGACTCAAAGTTGATATATGTATATATATTTTTGGCAAATGGATATCCATTTATTTCAGCACTATTTGTTCAAAAGATTATCTTTTCTTCATTGAAACTTTGTGAAAATCAGTCTTCCTTAGATAAGTCATGAAGTCAGGTATTGTTAGCTCTCAACTTTGCTTTTTTTAAGGTGCTTTGGTTGTTTTATGCCATTTCATTTGCATATGAATTTTAGATTGGAATGGTCAATTTCTACAAAATAACATGCTGGGATTTTGATTGGGATAGCTTTGAATCTAAAAATTGATTTACCGTTTATTTAAATCTTTGTTAATTTCTCCTAGCAATGTTACGCAGTTTTCATTGTACGTTTTTACATTTTGTCAGTCTTATTTCTAAGTATTTAATATTTTTGATACTATTATAAAATGCTGTTTTTAAACCTTGCTCTCCACACAGGTCTTGTCCAATAAGCATGTGGCTCCTGATCATCTGTTGCAAATCTGCCAGCGCATCGGTCCCATGTTGGATAAAGAAATTCCACCCAGTATTTCAAGAGTCACTTCTTTACTTGGTGCAGGAAGGCAGTCTTTGCTTCGTACAGCAAAAGGTACCTTAATTTGAAGAAGTGTTCTGCTTTGTATTACTAGCTTAATAATTATAATAATTGTGAAGTAATGTGAGCATTGTGGAAGAAAGGTGATATGTAACTATACACCATGCTGTGGACTATAAAATTCTCTGCATTTAGCATAGACATCGAATTTTATTGCATAAGTGTTTAATGGGTCTTCTGCATTAAAAAAATGAAGGAATAGATGTTAAGCTAAAAAGTTTGAATTCTGAGATGTGTTTGAGGTTTTATCAATGTGAGTTCTTAATTTTCCATTTTGTAGCTCACTTATAACTTCATTGAATGTAATTGTATGTGTCTAATAAACTCTTTAAATGCTAGAAATATTTCATTTGATATTTAGATCTTTGAAAGCCCTTTGTTATAAAGGGGAAGTGATTTTCTAAATTTGGTAGCAGTTTGAAAAACACCCAAAATGTATAATTGCATGGTTCTTTTTTCACCAACTTAATTTTTTTGCTAAGTTATGTGGTAGCAAACTGTTGGAATTGCTGTTCTTTTTCTGTTAGCTTGGTATAAATCACTTAGACTAAGTATATGTATGTGATATGATCTATGTATACAACGTGGCTTAACTAATGGGCAAGAATGTTGGCTCTTCTGATCTTGAGCATACATCAAGTTCATCCCCCGTGATTATTTTCAAGATCTGTTGCTGATGTGATGCTGCCTGTTAGATGTACCACCAGTGTAAAGCTTGCCCGAGAAGGAACCACCCTCTCTCTTGGTTCTATGCCAGACCGCTTTGTCAGCTTTAGTTGTTTCTTAGTGCGCTATGGCCATGTCACACTGGCTTGAATCAGGAAACTGTTCATATTCTTCCTTCTTCTGTGTCCCTATTCACCTTGTAATTATTCTGTTTTAGGTTGTTATATAGTGGTTGCCTGGGTAGCCTGTTTTCTTTACTTGTGTCAAGCTCAATGTCGTTTTGTGATGAGCACTGCTTTAGAACTGGCAGACCTTAGAAGAGACTTCAGCAAGCTGTCCTAGGGGTAGGGACCATATTTCTCTGTTTGTTTTGTACTAGTGCCATGGGAGGATGCCTGGTAATTGCTCTCTGATCATGGTAGTGGTAATGAATCCATTCATGTAAAACATAATATGCCTGTTAGTTTGGGGCACCCGAGGCTCAGTGGAGGTTTAGTAGGATGCCTTCCTTCCCATCCTCTTTTAGTTGTGAAGAAGCTAATTTCTAGCACAGTATAATCTGTGTTCTGCTGCTCCCTCCTATAGAGGGGCAGACATTTTTTTCTTGGAATATCTGCTGGTAGGTCAAAGAGGGATGGGACGTTAGAATTAGTGTTCAGACTCACAGATCCTACATATGTGCTCTTGTGTAAAGATCAGCTATGACCCTTAAACAAGAGGAATGCCATTTAATTTTGTCAATATTTCCAAAGGAGATTAGAGTCATGGTAATATTGGCCAAAATTAATTTTAAAACAGTGTAACATTTAAATAGTTATTTAAATCAAGGATTTTCATTTAAGTCAATAAATTAAAATTTTCCTTACAAAAATGTCCATTTTTGGAAAGTTGAATCAGTTGTTATTAAGACTTTTTATCATTAATATTATATGGTATAATTCCACATTGAAAAATAAAAATTTATTTGGCATTGAATGAGACTTGGAGTCAAAAGATCTGGTTTTGTGGTCCATCTTGGCTGATCATTTGCAGTGGATCTCTTTAAAGGTCCTGGAACCTTTGAGCCTCAGTTACCTCACTTGTAAATTGGCGATTAATACCTACCTCACAGGGTTGTTGTGAGGATTCCATGAGATAATGTATGTGGAAAGCACTTTGTAAATTGTAAAGTGCTACACGATGTTAGTTGTTGTTGTATCTGAGATGTCTTAAATATTTTTTTCCTTCAGACATAGTCTAATAAACTTCTAGGGCTTTTCTGTTAAAGTATATTAGTTGGTAAAACTTTGAATAAACAGTTTATTAAAATATACGTAAGTATTCTATAAAATCTTTCTTGGGGTTAACTTTCAAGATTTTATGTGTATCTAAAATTCATTTTAAAGACTGCAGGCACACAGTTTGGAAGGGCTCTGCCTTTGCTGCTCTTCATAGAGGAAGACCTCCTGAAATGCCGGTGAATTACGGTTCCCCACCCAATCTTGGTAAGTGAGGCTGGCCTTTCAGATGCCTGTTCTTTTAATTTCTTGACCAAGTTTGTAACTGCTCTGTTCAGATTTAAAAGAAAATACTGGTAGTAACATTGTTTTAGTAATAAGGATCAATTTTCACATTTTTTCCCTAAAATTACTAAAAGTAATAAAAATTAATGAAAAAACAATTTTATTACAATAAAAAGTCTGTACCAGTGATTATAGTAGAACAGAACTGGGAAGAGACTTGTGTTCTTAGGCATGGATTTCTGTTTTGGAGTTTTTCTTAGCTTTTTATGTACTGGCATCCCCTTAACCATTTTTGTTGTTTTTATTTCCTAGTGGAGATACATCGAGGCAAACAACTCACAGGGTGTTCCACTTTTAGCACAGCATTTCCAGGAACTATGTACCAGCATATAAAAATGCACAGAAGGATTCTTGGACATCTGTCTGCTGTTTACTGTGTAGCATTTGATAGGACAGGACATAGAATCTTTACAGTGAGTTAACATTTTAAACTCAATTTGTTATCATCTGGAGCACTTTGGTGTTCTTCATAATTTTTTAAGAAGTCTTATAAAATACATAGATTCCATGTTTCCCAGCCTCAGGATTTTGACTCAATAGGCCTGGTGTGGGGCCCATAAATTTGCGTTTTTATTTAGTGTCCCAAGTGATTCAGATGCAGATAGTTTGGTGGTTGTGAGACATTGATTCAGAACAGTAGCCCTTGGGCATGATCATCAAGGATGCTTAAAAATATGCATGCCTAATACTTCTTCAGCTCATTCTAGACCTCCTCAGTTAGGTTAATTTCTACAATGTATATTAACCAAAATCAAACCAAAACTCCTCCCACAAATATCCAGCTCTCTACAGGTGATTCATATTCACATTGAGTACTCACTGATCCAGGGTAATGGATTCATTACTTGAACACTGAAATATTATTTTACAGTTATTATAAAATGATATAAATATTTGGAATTTAATCTACATTTTTTAATGTTTTAAGGGAAAATTAGGATGGCAAGAATTTCAAATTTTCTCAGTTGTGAGATTCAGAGTAGATACTCCATATATTTAAGGAATGGATGGATGTTGGCTGGTACTATAAATTTTAGATTCTGTTGTTTGGTTATTTAAAATGAGGGTGCTAGTCCTGTAATTTTTTGATTGTTTTTGGGAACAACTACTCTTGTATTTCAGCCTGTGAAATGTAGATCTGTCCTAACACTTACCAAATTATTTAGCTTGATGTGAACTAAACTGACATTTAACCATTGTTATTGAAATAAGTGAGCCATGAACTTTTAGTTAGACTTGGCAGAGAATTTTGGGAAGATAGTATTTATAATGTGGTCTGATCCATAGACATGAAGACTTCATAATATCTTTATGTAGGCATTCTTTAGTTTGAAGAAAAAACTGTTTATAAAGTGTTCTTATCATGGGTCATAATCTACAGACTGTTCCACAGTTGGAAAGAGGAGTTATAAGTACTTAATTTGAGTGACATGTAAATGGTATTCTTTTAAATGATGTAAAAGACTTCCTTATTAATATTTATTTTGGGTGTATTTTTCCTTAGGGTTCAGATGATTGTTTGGTGAAGATTTGGTCAACACACAATGGCCGCCTATTATCCACATTAAGGGGTCATTCTGCAGAAATTTCAGATATGGCAGTAAACTATGAGAATACAATGATTGCTGCAGGGAGCTGTGATAAAATAATTAGAGTGTGGTGCTTGAGAACTTGTGCCCCAGTTGCTGTGCTCCAAGGACACACGGGGTCAATTACTTCTTTACAGGTAAACTAGCATTCATGGGCACATTTGTGTATTATCTCCTTTTCCTTTAAAATTCTCTTTGGAGATAAGAAATAGTAAGATGCTTAGTAATGATATGATCTATTTTAAATTAGTAATCAAGAAAAAATATAATTAATTATACTTATGTGAATCTTGGAAAGGTGAGTTAATAAATATGTAATTCTGTTGGAGCTTTAGGTGCAGGTTTAATGGATGACTTATTGCTTCCTTTAGGTTTATGGTTGAACTGAATGAGTCAATTACAAACTGGTGATAAGTTAATGATTTTTCTACTTTAAAAGTTTTGGATTTTGATAAGCTAATTATATTTGCTGAAGTGTAGTTAAACTTACTTTTAGTCCATATTCTAGAACTTAGATTTAAATAGTCACTTTCAACATTTATTTTTATTTATTTATGTATTTATTTTTTATCTTTATTGTTGCAAGTATTCCAGATATTCCTCATTTACCCCCTCCTCCCCACTCCCAAATCCCTCCTGCTTTTCCCAAACTATTGTGTGTCCATTGGTTATACATATATGCAAATAAGCTCTTTGGTTTATCTCTTCCCAACTCCCCCACCCCCTTCCCTCTGAGGTTTGTCAGTTTGTTCCCCACTTCCATGTCTCTGGATCTTTTTTTTTTTTAAATATGTTTTTATCGATTAAAAATTTTTAAAAAATATTTTTTTCTTTGTTGGTTTTTAGAGAGAGAGGAACGGAGGGAGGAGAGCGAGAGAAACATCAATGAGAGAACATCAATTGACTGCTTCCTGCATGCCCCTCACTGGGGATTGGGACCACAACCTAAGCATGTGCCCTGGCCAGGAATTGAACCAGCAATCTCTTGGTGCACGGGTCAATGCTCAACCAGTGAGCCACACCGGCTGGGCTTTATCGATTTTTTTAGAGAGAGAGGAAGGGAGAAAGAGATAGAAACATTGATGTGAGAGATACATCGATTGGCTGTCTCCTGCACGCCCCCCTACTGGGGATTGAGCTCGCAACCTGGGCTTGTGCCCAGAAGGAATGGAACTAGGACCTCTCAATTCATGGATGATGCTCCGTTCACTGAGCCACACTGGCTGGCCTCTTGATCTGTTTTGATCGACAGCTTATTTTGTTCATGATAGTTCATAAATAAGTGAAGTCATGTGGTACTTGTCTTTCTCTGACTGGTTTATTTCACTTAGCATAATACTCTACAGGTCCCTCCACGTCGTCTCAGAGGGTAAGAGATCTTTTTTTCTTACAGCTGCATAGTACTCCAGTGTATAAATGTACCGCAGCTTTTTCATCCACTCATCTACTGACGCACATTTGGGTTGTTACCAGATCTTAGCTATTGTAAATAGCGCTGCTATTTCTTCTTTTTCTTTAAAAAAAAATTTTTTTTATCCTCACCCAAGGACATTTTTTTTTGTTCAGATAGAATGGGAGGGAGAGAGAGGACGAGAGAGAGAGAAACATCGACGTAAAAGGGACACATTGAGTGGCTGCCACCTGCACGACCCAACCAGGGCCAGGGACAAACTGCAACCGAGATACGTGCCCTTAGCAGGAACCGAACCCGGGTCTCTCTGGACCATAGGCCGACGCTCTAACCGCTGAGCCAAACTGGCCAGGGCTAAAAATTTTTTTTTTCTTTATTGATTTTAGAGAGAGAGGAAGGGAGAGTGGGAGAGAGACAGAAACATCAATGAGGGAGAACATCCATTGGCTGCCTCCTGTACCCCCCCCCCCCACTGGGGACCAGGCCCACAACCTGAGCATGTGCCCTAAGCAGGAACTGAACCGGAGAGCTCCCAGCATATGGGTCGACGCTCAACCACCTAGCCACACTGGCTGGGTATAAATAGCACTGCTATTAACATAGGGGTGCATATATTCTTTCTGATTGTTGTTTTCAGGTTTCTTAGGATATATTTCTAGAAGTGTAGTCACTAGGTCAAATGGCAATTCCATTTTTAATTTTTTGAGGAAACACCGTATTGTTTTCCATAGTGGTTGCACCAGTCTGCATTCCCCCCAGCAGTGCACTAGTGTCCCCTTTTCTCCACACCTTCGCCAGCACTTGTTGTTTAAAGATCTGTTTGATGGCAGCCATTCTGATAGGTGTGAGGTGATATCTCAGAGTTGTTTTAATTTGCATCTTTTTGAGAATTAGTGATGTTGAGCATTTTTTCATATGTCTGTTGGCATTTGTATGTCCTGTTTGGAGAGGTGTCTATTCAGCTCCTCGGCCTATTTTTTAATTCGATTGTCTTCCTTTCGTTGAGTTGTATGATTACTCTATATATTTTTGACATTAACCCCTTCTCCCATGTATGTATCATTGGCAGATATATTCCCCCAGAGTGGGTTCTATTTTTGTTTTGATGCTAGTTTCTTTTGCTGTGCACAAGCTTTTTAGTTCGATGTAGTCCCATTTATTTATTTTTTTTCCTTTGTTTCTCTTGCTCTAGATGATATATCAGTGAAAATTTTGCTATGTGTGATGACTGAGATTTTTTTGCCTTCATTTTCTTCTAGGATTTTTATGGTTTTATGAATGACATTTAAATTTAAGTCTTTTGTCCATTTTGAGTTTATTCTTATATATGGTGTAAGTTGATGGTCTAGTTTCATTTCTTTGCATGTAGCTCTCCAATTTTCCCAGCACCATTTATTGAAGAGACTGCCTTCTCTCCATTGTATGCTCTTACCTCCTTTGTCAAATATTAATTGAGCATAATGTCTTGGGTTGATTTCTGGGTTTTCACTTTAAACATTTAAACCCTTCATTTTATATACTTGAGGAACCTGAGCTTGGAAGAAACTTCTTTGAAGTCATAGGTTAAATCCTACCTTCCTTACAAAGTATATGTTCTTGGGAGAAAATAATAAAGCAGATTATAAAGTATACTTTCTGAGTTGTTATAATGATAAGTATGTGAATCTTAAAAAACCCACACAGACTTATTTTTCCACTTTTTTTCTGCTAATGGCAGTACTGCTCTTTTGCTGAGCTCCTTGTCTTGAATGTCTCACGAGTCAGCAAGTTGTGTGGCTTCTTGGCTTTCCTCCCCACTCTGAGGGAAGGAAAGATTGAGGTTAAGGTTGTTAGATTAACTGGATCGATTGGATCGATTCTTGGCTCTTTACCTATTTCCTTTCGATCCATATTGTATATTGCCATCAGACAAATCTTTCAGTTGCCTTCAGTGTTTTATTTGTTAACTAGTTACCTCTTAATTTGCTGTTATTGGGCCCAGATTCTCTACCAGTTTCACCACCACTTCCAGAAATGAACACTTCAGTCATATAGGTCTTTCCACTGCTATCACATACCATATTCTCTATCAAATTTGTACTTTTGTTCATATCATTTCTTTGCCTTAGTATGTGTTTCTTATTTTCCTCTTTATCTTGGATATCTCCGGACAGATGGAACTTCCTTTTTCTAGCTTGTTTGTATAGCACAGTTGGTACTTGTTAAATACAAATGGTTAGCCCTATTCTGAAGTTACAATACAATTTTTGTATTTTCTTATAATACTGTTTTTATGGGATTTAAAAAAATGTTTAAATTGTGATTCACTTGGAATATATTCTGGTATATAATCTGGAGGCTAGATCCAGTTATTTCCCCTGATTGCTGCACAGTTGTCCTTTAACCATTTATGCAGTGACTCATTGTTTCCTAGCTGATTTGAGATGGCACCTTTGTCTTAAGTCTTGTATTAGGGTCCATTTTGGAGTTTATATTTTTTCTTTTGGTTGTTAATGTCCTTACGCTACCCCATAGTTCTGATTATTAAGGCTTGGTGATATGCTTTCATATTGGTAAGAGTAGATCTTTACTTTCTCTTTGTAGAAGTTTTTCTGGCTCTTCTTGTATGTTAGTTTTGAAAATAATCTTTTACTGAGATCACATTACGTTTATAAGTTAATTTGAGATAGACTTTACCTTTTTATAGGTTATGCTTTCACCTATGTTTTTGGATTGCTTATATTTTAGAGGGTCAGTTGAAGTTAACTTTGAAAAATTGCTTAAACTACAACTTTAATAGAAGCTCAGGAAAACTGAGTTACGTATGTTATTGCTTTTTAGTTTAGCCCAATGGCCAAAGGCTCTCAAAGGTACATGGTCTCTACTGGTGCTGATGGGACAGTTTGTTTTTGGCAGTGGGATTTAGAATCCCTGAAATTCAGGTAAGAGACTTTAATCGTGTAATAAGTTTTCTTTTTTAATGTTATGATTTAGTCTAATGAAGTCTGTTATAAAGAGAAATTATGGATTGTGGTTGCCTGTTTACTTTTGAACTTAATTTTTATTATATACAGCATGTGTGCCATATTGACTGCTCACTGTTTACAGTTGCTATTTAAATAGTTGAATATGTAAAAGAAGCATAGCTATTCTATCTTAGTGGGCATATTTTTGTGGGGGGAAAAAAGAAATAATACATATGTGAAACATTTTGAAAACAATTAGAAATGTATACTGAGATACATAGAAGTTTAGGAAGGATCATTTAAGAATTAGGAAACCTGGATTTTGAACCTGTGCTGTCCAGTACAGTACCTACTAGCGACATGTGACTTTCAAGCACTTCATATGTGGCTAGTGTAATTGAGGAACTGGATTAATTTAGATACTAATACTTGATTTAGTTATAAAATTTTAAAGCATATTTAAAAACACTTGAGTATGTGAATTTAGTTTTTTAGCTGTAAGTTTTATGAAAACTGTGTATTTGATGAAAATGTTCAGATTGAGATGTATTGTAAGTATTCAGTACACTGAAATATGTCAAAGATTTAAAGTGAAGGAAAGAAAAAAAAGTGAAGGAAAGAGTCTAAATTCATTGAAATGTTACTAATATTATGATATTTTGGATATATTGGGTTAAATGAAATAAGACTTATTTCATCTTTTATTTTTAATGTGGCTACTAAAAAATGGAAAGTTACCCACGTGGCTTGCATTCCATTTTTGTTGGACGGTACTGTGCCTTGATGGTTTTATACCCTGCTCTGCAGCCTTGATGGGTTCACATAGACTCTGAGCTGTAGTCTCATCAATTACAAGATGGGTTAGTAGACCTCTTTCTATGCAGTAGGATCGGTATGAAGATGGGGATTAGACAGTCTTCTAAAATCCATCCAGCTGTAATTAATAGCATATGTGGAAACATTTGGTATACTGTGAGGCACTATAGAAATAACCTAATATTTATTTAAACATATTTTAAATGTTTTTACTGATTTTTTTTTTTTTTCTTAGAGGGAGGGTAAGGGACAGAGAGATAGAAACATCAATGTGAGAGAGAAACATTGATCGGTGCCTCCTGCATGTCCCCCACTGGGGATTGATCCTGTAACCCGGGCATGTGCCCCAACTGGGAATTGAACTGGGACCTCTTAGTCCATTGGACCATGCTCAGTCCACTGAGCCACACCGGTCTGGCTAGAAATAACGTAATATTTATTTATTTATTTATTTATTTATCCTCACCTGAGGACATTTTTCCATTTTTTGTACAGATAGAGTGGGAGGGAGGGAAGGAGAGAGAGAGAGAGAGAGAGAGAGAGAGAGAGAGAGAGAGAAACATCGACGTGAAAGGGACACATTGAGTGGCTGCCACCAGCACGACCAACCAGGGCCGGGGACAAACTGCAACCGAAGTAAGTACATGCCCTTAGCGGGAACCGAACCTGGGTCTCTCCGATCCGCAGGCCGACGCTCTAACCACTGAGCCAAACCGGCCAGGGCAATAACGTAATATTTAAATATTGCTAGCTTAGCCCAGCCTGTGTGGCTCATGGACTGAGTATCATCTCATGGACTGAGAGGTCCTGGTTCAATTTTCAGTCAGGGCACATGCCCGGGTTGTGGGCTCAGTCCCCAGTAGGGGGCATGCAGGAGGCAGCTGATCTATGTTTCTCTCTCACATCATTGTTTCTATGTCTCCCTTCCTCTCTCTCTCAAAAAAAAGAAAATCAATAAAAAAAATAATGCTAGCTTAAAATCAATATTTAAACAATGTTAATGTATAAAACTAATGTATTTTAAACATCATCTTTTATAGTCCACGTCCTTTGAAGTTTACTGAAAAGCCTAGACCAGGCGTTCAAATGCTTTGTTCTTCTTTTAGTGTTGGTAAGCACGTCTTTCAGTTTAATTTTAGAATTTATTGAATGACCCCATAATTGCTAAGAACCTTTATCAGATAGATGGTAAATGACTTATGTTCATTTTGTTAGGTTTAATCTGTGATGTTCATTTCATTTCTTCTTCTTGTCTTTCCTCCATTCTGCCTTTTTTCTGATTTTGAATAGTAATCAAGAGTGAGTGATAGAAGAGATAGCTGGCTAAAAGGAGGCTCAAGGTTGTTCACATTAGTGATTCCTGAATCATGTGCCCCAGGTGTATGATATACCAAAATTGTGATTGTTGTTTAACAGGCTAAACTGTGTGTGTGTGTGTATTTTTTTTTTATTCTTACCCGAGGATATTTTTCCATTTTTTGTACAGATAGAGTGGGAGGGAGAGAGAGGAAGAGAGAGAAACATCGACGTGAAAGGGACACATTGAGTGGCTGCCACCTGCATGACCCAACCAGGGCTGGGGACAAACTGCAACTGAGGTACATGCCCTTAGCGGGAACTGAACCCGAGTCTCTTTGGACCGCAGGCTGATGCTCTAACTGCTGAGCCAAACTGGCCAGGGCTAAACTGTATATTTTTGGTAGTTAAAATTTATTTTCTATACATCTTGGTGAAATTATTCCCCATTTTCTTTTCTTGCACAGTAAACTTGTGTGCTAACCTTTCTATTTAGGAGAGGCCAAAGACTTTGTCCCTATAAAAGTCTCAAAACTTGAACAAGTGAACTTTATATTCCATAGCTAGGTTTAGATATGTGTAAAGTTGTCTAGAACGCAGAGCCCCTTTACCAAACATTTTTAGAGCAGCAGCACTTAAGGTTATTGTCACAGCTAATAATGTAGAGGGCAATAGTGAACATTTCCATATTGAATTAACTTAGAAAAAGTTATAGCCCCATCTGATTTTTTTTTTTTCCAGCACCACCAAATAATTTTTACACACCAGCTGGGTGTCTTAAAATTGAACCCAATTCTGATACTCTCTCCCTAGAGATGCCACAGGTTAAGGACTCAGTCCTACATGATTCTCCCTCTCCCCATATCAAACTTCAGACCTGTGATTCTGGTCTACTATCTATTGATTGGAGGTTTCCACAAACTCCTCCTTGTTAGCTCTCTAAATTCCATTCTTTCAGGTTTTTATGGAGACTTCCTTATACTGGCATGATTGAGTAAATCATTGGCCATGGTGATTGATTCAACTCCCTTCCTTCCTCTCCATAGGTTGGACTGAAAGTTCCAATCCTCTAATCACATGGTTGGTTTTCCTGACAATGAGTCCCACTCTCCCCCTTAGGTGCTTTCCAGAAGTCACCTTGTTAATATATACTCTGGTGTGGTTGAAAGGGTTTAATGACTATTAAGACCTTTATCACTCTTATCACTTAGGAAATTCCAAAGGTTTTAGGAGTTCTGTGCCATAAACGGGAATGAAATATATATTTCTTATTATAAACCTAATATCACTCTACATTGTATAATTTTAAAATGTCTTTATATTGTGAATTGGGAAATGGATCTATTGAGAATAAGAGATCTTACTTAATTTAATATCGAAATTTGGTTTGTTCAGATATTTGTTATAAACTATAGGTTTTTCAACCTTAACATTTTTATTTCAGGTGGTATGTTTTTAGCCACTGGTAGTACCGATCATGTAATCAGAATGTACTTTTTGGGTTTTGAAGCACCTGAAAAAATTGCAGAACTTGAAAGCCACACTGTAAGTATTCATGTTTTCAAATTCTGTAGATTAATTTTAGTAATATTCCTGTTGGTATACAGTCAAATATTGCTAACAGAAATTGATATGGATTCTTTTTTTTAATCCTCATCTGAGGAGGTTTTTTTAATTGATCTTTAGAGAGAGTGGAAGGGCAGGAGGGAAGTAGAGAGAGGGAGAGAAGAAACAAACATCAATGTGAGAGAGACAAAGATTGGTTGCTTCCGAACCTTGCCCTGACCAGGGCTAGGGATCAAACCTGCAACCCTTTGGTGTGCAGGCCAGTGATCTAATCACTGAGCCACACCAGCCAGGGCTGGATTCTTTTTTTTTTTTAATTTAATTTACTGGGTTATCATTTTAAAAAATGTTTTTATTGACTTTTTTTTAGGGAGATAGGAAGGGAGAGAGAGGTAGAAACATCAATGTGAGAGAGAAACATCGATTAGCTGCCTCCTGCACGAACCCTACTGGGGAGTAAGCCCACAATCTGGGCATGTGCCCTGACTAGGAATTGAACCAGGATCTCTCAGTTCATGGGACGATGCTCAACCAACTGAACCACACCAGCTGGGCTATTGGGTTATAATTTTTACTTAATTGTAGGAGGAATCGCATTTAAAGGTGAAGGATATTGACAACTGAGCACGTTGACTGCTTCTGTTTTCCAGTGGTTATTTCAGTTTAATTCCAGAATCTTAATTCTGACAGTTGATTTGGGTGGGGTTAGGTTCAGGTGGGCCTGTTTATCTTAACCTAGCTCATGAAATCAGAATGTATTTTATTAGTGTGTGGTAAGATATATAACTCAGTATTCTGGAGTATTAGTTAGTGGTCAGGTCATGTTTTCTCCTAAACAAAGTTTTGTGAGGCTATTTGATAAACAGATTTGAATCACTTTAAAAGAAAAAAGCCCCAGCCCAGCTGGTATGGCTCAATGATTGAGCGTTGACCCTTGTACCAAGAAGTTGCTGGTTCGAGTCCTGGTCAGGGCACATGCCCAGGCTGTAGGCCAGCCCCCCAGTGGAGGGCATGCAGGAGGTGGCCAATGTTCTCTCTCATTGATGTTTCTAGCTCTCTCTCCTCCTGTCCTCTCTCTCTAAAAGCAATTAAAAAAAACCTTTATAAAAAATAATTTAAAAAGCCTATCCAGGTGGCTCAGCTGGTTGGAGCATTGTCCTGTAAAGAGTTGTGGGTTCAATTTCTAGTCAGGGCACATACCTCAGTTGTGGGTTTGATCCCCAGTAGGGGCAATGCAGAAGGCAGTCTGTGGAAGTTTCTCTCTCGCGTTGATGTTTTCTCTCTCCTGTCTCCCACCTCTTTCTCCCACTCCCTCTACCTCACTCTCTAAAAGCAATAAAAACATATCCTCAGTGAGGATTAAAAAAAATTTTTTTTTTTTTTGGCGTATAGATGATTATGAAATGTATATTCAGCCTTGTTTTCAGCTGCTTAAAACATATATTTTTTTGTTTGGGTTTTTTTAATCCTCACCTGAAAACACCTTTTTTTTTTTTTTTTGCAATTATCTTCAGATAGAGTGGGAGGGAGAGAAGGAGGAAGTGAGAGAGAGAAACATCGAAGTGAGAGAGACACATTGAGTGGTTGCCACCCACACGACCCCAACCGGGGCCAGGGGCAAACTGCAACTGAGGTACGTTCCCTTAGCAGGACCAAACCCAGGACTCTCTGGTCTGCAGGGTAAAGCTCTAACTGCTGAGCCAAACTGGCCAGGGTAAAACATTTATATTTTGATAATGTTTTACACACATATCAATTTTTTTACTCAATAATTTTAAAAAATAATATGTTTTTATTGATTTTTAAAGAGAGAGGAAGGGAGAGGGAGAGAGAGGGAAACATTGATTGTGAGAGAAAAACATCCATTGGCTGCCTCCTGTATATCCCCTCCTGGGGATCGAGCCTGCAACCTGGCATGTGCCCTGACCAGGAATCAAACCAGCAACCTCCCAGTGCATGCTCAGCCAACTGAGCCACACTCAGCTTTGGCCAGGGCCATGTCAGTTTATATACAGATACTTTATTGCGTGTGTCTTTCTTTGAGACAGGAGCTATGTCTTAGTAGTACTGTTAGAGTTATAGTTGAATTCTTTGCACTTAAATGTATAATTCATGTTTGAATGACAGGGCTAAGCAGCACAAATGCGAATCTCTTGCTTTAAATCAAATGTGCTTCTAGCTCTAACACTATGTTTTTTGTTTATAAAGTATGCAGATGATGACTTCTGTGTTTGTTCCCCCTCCTACCCCGATTTAGGATAAAGTTGATAGTATCCTATTTTGTAACAATGGTGATCGGTAAGTGTGTTTGTATTTGTGCGTATGTTTTAGGCATATATACTGTGCTTCGTATTAGTATAGCTAATATGTCATTTTGTGTATTGCAGGTACTTATTAGTAAATACAGAGGTGGGCAAAAGTAGATTTACAGTTGTTAGTATGGAAAAACATTCAGATTATGATTATTACAATAGTTTTTTTGTTTTTGGTTAATCTCCCCCGTCTCCCACCTCGTCACCTGAGGATATTTTTCCATTGCATTTTAGAGAGAGAGGGAGAGAGACACATCAGTTGGTTGCCTTCTGCACAACCCCAACTGGACTGGGGATTGAACCTGCAACCCAGGTATGTGCCCTTGACTGAAATCAAACCTAAGAACCTTTGGTCCGAGTGCTGATGCTCTAACTGCTGAGCCAAACTGGCCAGGGCTACAATAGCTTTATTAGTTATTTCCCGTACTCACATTTGTAAACCTAATTTTGCCCACCCCTGTATAATAATTGAATGAAAAGTGTCTGGGACTGTGGGAAACACATGAAATACAAGTGATTAAAATTGTACTTATTGCTCTCTCCTTTATCTTACATCAGCTAAATTTTTTATTTCCGGAAAAATTAGGTGAAATTCCTTATGTTTGAGTAGTTAAATCTTTTCTCATCAGTGACTGCTGTATACTGCAATGAAATTATCACTTGCATCACACGTTTTTTTGTGTGATTCCCAGTGTCTCTCAGGTGCCTTTCCTAATAATGCAGTTTTTAACACTTTGTTAAAAGATGATTATTTTTACACAGTGGCTAGCATGAATTAATATGAGTTTAGAGTTAAGATGCTTAGAATGGAGCTTTTGCTTTTACTAATTTTCTCAAGTCTTTTATTCTTCCTATTTTTTCTTCCTCTCCAGGTGCTATTGTCTTCTCAAAACTCAATCTATTTGATAAGCTATTAATTGCTTTTAAAATGTGCTTTACTTCATAAAGCCATACAAATCATAGCAAACCAGATGTTTTCCATTCAGATATACTCTAAATCAGAGCTCTGTCTTCTGATTTAACATCTGTAGATTAACCTGCAGTCAAGATAGCTACATACATCTTTTTGTTTGCTTGTGATTTTAACTGTAGCTATTGGTGGCATGTATGTGAATATAAGATCTTTTTAAAAAATATTTTAAGGTTTTTAAGTGGTAGCAGAGATGGAACAGCGCGGATTTGGAGATTTGAGCAATTAGAGTGGAGAAGCATTTTATTGGATATGGCTACTAGAATTTCAGGGTAAGTTGAGATGGTTTGTTGTAAGTAGGTATATCATAAGTACTTGGTCTCTCCCTGGTTGGTTGGTTGATTGCTTTGTTCAGGGGACTGGAGATACCTCCTGTTACTAAGACTAAGACCTACAATCTAAATGAATGGGTACCTCCTGCATGTCTGATGTAGATACTTAAATCTCTTATATCTAAAACAGCAGTTCGCAGCCTGTGGGTCGCGACCCCGTTAGGCGTCGAACGATCCTTTCTCAGGGGTCGCCTAAGACCATTGGAAAATACATATTTCCTATGGTGATCATAACAGTAGCAAAATTACAGTTATGAAGTAGCGATGAAAATAATTTTATGGTTGGGGGTCACCACAACATGAGGATCTGTATTAAAGGGTCGCGGCTTTAGGAAGGTTGAGAACCACTGGTCTAAAAGAACTGACTCTTAACATTCATGTAGGAAAGAGCAACATATTTGTTCTATTTCTCAAAGAATTGACTTCCTCTTAGGTATTGCATTTAAAACCACCTATAATTTTTTTTTCTTTATCTTCATCCGAGGACATTTTTTTGCATTTGTCTTCAGATGGATGGAGCAGGAGGGAGAGAAGGGAGGAAGAGAGAAACATTGATGTGAGAGAGACACATTGAGTGGCTGCCACCCACATGACCCCAACCGGGGCCGGGAACAAACCACAACTGAGGTATGTGCCCCTAGCGGGAACTGAACCTGGTTCTCTCTGGACCACAGGCTGACGCTCTAACTGCTGAGCCAAACTGGCCAGGGCGATGTTTATCTTTCTTTATCTTCCTCTCCACCTCTCCCCTCACTCCCTCTCTCTCTCTCTCAAATTCATTAAAAACAACAACTACTCAGGTGTCAAATACAGAAATTTTTTTGTAGATAGGATTTTAGGAATTTTAAAAAGCACATGTTTTGGAATCAGACCTTTGCTCACATACTACTTAGATTGTTTATAGCTACGTAATTTTCAGAATATTTAATGTTAGTCTTTTTTATTATCTGGGAAACGATGATAACCCGTCTTTAAGGACTATTGGGAATTTTAACAGGACGAAAGATGCTAGCATACTGTTTGGTCCAGAGTAGGCATATCAGTGTTCCTTTGCCCAGTACAAATATTATTACTTTATTACAGTATTATAGAATCTGAAGTTACAGATTTTAGTTTAGAGTTTATTTCCAAGGCTTAACTTACTTTTTCATACCAGTTTTTCTGAGAAATGTTATACATTTTGTCTTTTGGAAATCCTCATGTCTCCTTTATTTTCAATAATTGTAGGAGAAATTAACTCATTCTCTACTGTGATTCAAACAGTTGTACTGGGTTTCAAAATAAATTTGACCTTAATATTTTTGTGAAATGATCTGTGGTAGAGGATGGAAGGAATATATACTAGAAATCTGATAATTCTTGTTCACAAGTAGATCTTTACCATTATTTAAAAAAAATTATACACCTGGATACTCAAAGTCATCTTAGTGTGAAAGTGAATACTGTTACTCCTTAATTAATTGAAATGATGAAGGGAAATGGGAGGAAAGATAATTTGAAACCATATTCATCTATGAACAATTGTTTTATTAGGAAAATAGGAACATTGGTGTAAACACTGGAATAAAAATTTTAAAAATGAGACTGACAGCTGCTTAATTTCTTCGCTGCTGTACTCTTCATGGAGAGAACTTCTTACGTAATTCCCTTCGTGGTGGGAATATTTTTCTCTCATCTAAAGTTTTATCTTTTTTAAATCTTGAAAAGCAGAGTTTTCTGTATGTAAGAATTAATGGATATATTTGTTTCAGTGTTCTGACTTTGCCTGATCAACTTTATGAACTAGAACTGGTCTGTTAGTAAATTCAGGGTTGTTATTAACAGGGAATACCTTTTAGTTTAAAAGGGAGTGTGAAGTCTTAGTCTTTCTTACATTTCCTCTCTTTTATGTTGCACTTTTTCTGTGACCAATCTAGTTAGAATTATTGTCTTGTCTGTGTTCTATTATATTTACATAGATACTGTTACATTCCACTTGTTCCATACTTCTATAGCTGTTTTCTTTCATTAAAATATATTTATTTTGTTACATGTTGTATGATTTCAGATGCCCCTAGGCCTTTCCTCACCCTCCCATTGTTTACTACTGATTATTTTTTACAGAGAAATATTGTATATCACTTTCATAAAGGCTGCAGTGCATTGCAGGCATATGTATCCAATATTTTTATTATCATGGGACCCATAAGAACAGTCTGTAGGGAAGTATAAAAAGATGAGTACAGTCTTGCTTTATAGTTCAGAAAGTGTAGTGACTCTGTGTCAGGCACTTTTTTACACAGTAGGGATATGAAGATGAGTTTCTGTCTTCCTAAATTATTTTTTTTTATTAATTATTTTTGTTATAGATGTTTCTCTTTTTTCCCCCATTGATACCCTCCTCCCAATCCCCCCCCCCCCCAGCATTGTTGTCTATGTCCATTGGTTATGCATATATGCATATAAGTTCTTTGGTTCATCTCTTCCTGCCCCCCTTCTCCCAGGTTTGTCAGTCTGTACCCTTCTTCGATGTCTCTGGGTCTGTTTTGTTTATCAGCTTATTCTGTTCATTATATTCCACAAATAAGTGAGATCATGTGATATATGTCCTACTCTGATTGGCTTATTTCGCTTAGCATAATACTCTCCAGGTCCCTCCATGTCATCTCAAAGGATAAGAGATCTTTCTTACAGCTACATGGTATTCCATTGTGTGTATGGACCACAGCTTTTTTATTTACTTATCTACTGATGGACACTTGGGCTGTTTCCACATCTTAGCTATTGTAAATAGTGCTGCTATGAACAAAGGGGTACATATATTCTTTCTGATTGGTGTTTCAGTTCTGGCTTTGTCTTCCTAAAATTTCTTGCCATCTCTATAGAGAGAAACAGTTGAAAGTATTACTGTTAGGGCTTGAGTTTAGGAGAAAAGAATAATAGAAAAGAGGTAGAAGAAAATGCTTTGCTCTTATAAGTAGCATTAGTGTCCTAAAATCTGCATTTATTCAGTCTCTGAACTGCTTCTGAATTATCCCCTCCCCCTCTGGGTTTTGCCCTAATCTGTTTATAGATAATCTTTTATGGGTCACATATGATGAACCCTGTGTAGAGTTGGTAAGGTAAGCACGTGAACTTTATTTTTGTAGATAGGGAATTGTATATGTTGTATAGCCTACCATCCAAGTGAATTTATACGTTATGTATTTTTTTCTTAGGGACTTAACTTCTGAAGAGGAAAGGTTTATGAAACCCAAAGTAACAATGATAGCATGGAATCAGAATGATAGCATTGTTGTCACAGCTGTGAATGATCATGTCCTCAAAGTGTGGAATTCTTATACTGGACAGCTGCTTCATAACTTGTTGGTAGGTTGTTCTTATCAAATATATCAAATCATGAGTTTTTGAACTATAATTTTATTTTTAAAGCTATGAAATTAATATATTAAACATCTTTCATTTGTATTATCAAATAAATAGAAATTTGTATATATACTGATACAAATTGCTGTCATTAATACATTTTTAAAAGCCCCTCTACCCTATGACAGTATGGGTTTTTTTAAATTTTTATTTTTTATTCCTTTTGTTGGGAGTATTACAGATGTCTCCCCTTTAATTCCATTGCCTCCCTCCTTCCATAAGGGTTTTTAATTAGAAACTTATAATTTGCAAACCCTCCTTAACTATATGACTTTGTTGAATAAAGGGACATGCTGATGAAGTGTTTGTTTTGGAGACACATCCCTTTGATTCCAGAATTATGTTATCTGCAGGACACGATGGCAGCATATTTATATGGGATGTTACAAAAGGCACCAAGATGAAACATTATTTTAATATGGTAAGTGGAGTCCAGGGTGTCTCCATGCATGCTTGTATTTGTTTCCCCTACCTGGATTGTAAAGTTTAGCCAGAAAAAAATTTGCATGTTTTGACAGTTTATATTTCTAAAAATCAGGGTATTTAAAGCCTAATAAATACATACATGGAATTCTCTGTATGATTGATTCACATGAGGGAAAGATTTTCAAAAGCTATCTATTTAGCTTTGTGTATGAGTGAATGTGTCTGTGCCTCCATTTCAATTGGTAAAATTATGCTAAGTATATACAACTCAAGACTTTGTAGCATTACAAATTTTGGCATAGTGATCAGCCATCTTAGTAGAAAGTTTAAACTCCAGAAAAATATTGATTTTAGTTCATGAATATCACACTTTATTAGTCTTTAATTTTTACTTTGTAGATTATTAGTCAATAGCCTTTTGTTATACATTAAAACAAAAGTTTATGAAGGTGCTTATTATTTACTTGTTAGAAATAAAGCCTTTGGATTGTGATTTTTTAAAAAATTGATGTTAGAGTGAGAGAAGAAGGGAGAGGAGAGAGAGAGAGAAACATCAACGAGAGAGAACATTGATTGGCCGTCTCCTGCATTCCCCCCCACTGGGGATCAGACCCACAACCTGGGCATGTACCTTGACTGGGAATCGAACCAGTGACCTCTTGGTGCATGGGTGGATACTCAACCACTGAGCCACACCAGCCGGGCTGGATTGTGATCTTTTATTCAGTCATTTTGAGAACTCATTCTTAGAAGATCTTTCAAGATTCCTTCCAGGCTAGTGGTATCTAAAGTGAATTTTAGCCCTGGCCAGTGTGGCTCATTTAATTGGAGCATTGTCCTGTAGACGAAAAGGTGGATAATTCAATTCCTAGTCAGGGCACATACCCAGGTTTCAGGTTTGATCTCTGGTCAGAATGTGTGTGGGAGGGAAACCAATTGGTGTTCCTCTCTCACATCGATGTTTCTCTCTTCTCTCTCTCCCCCCTTCTTTTTTTTTTTTTTTAAAGAAAATACACTTTTATTTTCATTTTATTTTTTATTCAGATAGAGCGGGAGGGAGAGAGAGGAAGAGAGAGAGAGAGAGAGAGAGAGAAACATCCACGTGAAAGGGACAACATTGAGTGGCTGCCACCCACATGACCCAACCAGGGCCTGGGACAAACCGCAACCAAGGCACATGTCCTTAGCAGTTACCAAACCTGGGTTTCTCTAGACTGCAGACCGACGCTCTAACACTGAGCCAAACTGGCCAGGTCATCTTCTCTCTAAAAGAAATGAAAATAAAAAGTGAATTTATTTTCTGAAAATATAAAATGGCAAAGAAAAATGTATTTTTTAGTTATATATTGTAGCAGTCTATCAACACAAAAACAGTTGGTACAGCAAAAACACTTCCATAGGCTTGGTCATAACTTTATTCCTCTTTTTTGTTAGCATGTGCCAAACTTTTATTCAACTATTGAATGAGGCTTTTTCTCTCTGTTTTCTAGATTGAAGGACAAGGGCATGGAGCTGTATTTGACTGTAAGTTTTCACAGGATGGACAGCATTTTGCCTGTACTGACTCTCATGGGCACCTTCTGATATTTGGTTTTGGATGCAGCAAGCCGTATGAAAAGGTCATTTTAAATATTTTCTTACAGCATGCAAATTAAGTAGTTATGTAGGTTATTTTGAAAATAGATTAAATGTGTTAATTTCTGTTTTTTTCTAATTATAATTAACTGCCTAATGTTTGTTTTCTTTTAACATGTATAAACCTCAAAATATCAATCTATAAACTTCCTTTTTCTATTTTTTTTTTGTTTAAATTTTTCTTTTCTAGATTCCTGATCAGATGTTCTTCCATACTGACTATAGACCACTGATTAGAGATTCTAATAATTATGTCTTAGATGAGCAAACTCAGCAGGCTCCTCACCTTATGCCTCCACCATTCTTGGTAGATGTAGATGGAAATCCTCATCCAACTAAGTATCAGAGATTAGTACCAGGCCGAGAAAATTCTGCAGATGAACATTTGGTTCCACAGCTGGGCTATGTGGCAACAAGTAAGTACAAAGCCCTTTTAAAAAAAACCCACAGAACTTTTTATTTGAAAGATATAAAGAAAAATACAAGGAACTCCTGTGCTTTCAAATCCACCAGTTGTTAATCGTTTCTTATGTTTGTTTTATCATTTATCTCTAGATACGTATTATTTTGCACCACTTGAGGCTTAAGTTCTGAACCTCATGCTCATTCACCCCTAAATACTTTAATATATACAGTATTTTTTAAGAACGAAGATAGCCCTGGCCGAGTTTGGCTCAGCAGTTAGAGTGTCAGCCCTCAGACTGAAGGGTTTTGGGTTTGATTTCTGGTCAAGGCCACATACCTGGGTTGCAGGTTCAATTCCCCCCACCCCCCCGCCCCCGGTTGAGGTTGTACAGAAGGCCCACCAGTTGATGTGTATCTTTCACATCGATGCTTCTCTCCCCCTGCCTCACTCTTTCTAAAAAGCAGTGGAAAAAGATCCTCAGGTGGGGGTAACAAAGATGTTGTCTTACATAATCATAAACAAAGATATTTAACACTCAGATAATACTGTTATCAAATCTATAGTCTAATTTAATTTTGTCTTATTCTAATGCCTGTTTCAGCTTTTTTGATAATCCTCTGATATAGATTTCAATTTGGGGATTGCACATTAAATTTAGTTGTCAGTGATTAACTTCTGGTTATATATATATATATACATATATATATATATATATACACACACACATATACATATATATATATATATATATTTTTTTTTATCCTCACCCGAGGACATTTTTCCATTTTTTGTTCAGATAGAGCGGGAGAGAGAGAGAGAGAAACATTGACGTGAAGGGACACATCGAGTGGCTGCCACCCGCACGACCAACCAGGGCCGGGGACAAACTGTAACCGAGGTACGTGCCCTTAGCGGGAACCGAACCCGGGTCTCTCTGTACCGCAGGCCGACACTCCAACCGCTGAGCCAAACTGGCCAGGGCTCTGGTTATATATTTTTTGACAGAATGCAAAATAAACAATGTTTTAGCCTTCCTGGAGCATCATGTCAGGATGCTTATGATTGTGTTTTGTCCAATGGTAATGTTTAAAAAATTTTTTTTTCTTTATTGATTTTAGAGATAGAGGAAAGAGGAGGGAGAGAGAGATAGAAACATCGATGAGAGACAGAACACTGATTGGCTGCCTCCTGCATGCCTCTCACTGGGGATCAGGCCACAACTTGGGCATGTGCCTTGACCAGAAATTGAACCGATGACCTCTTGATGCATGGGTCGACGCTCAACCATTGAGCCACACCGGCCGGGAATTGTTATTTTTTAAAATATGTTTTTATTGATTTTTTAGAGAGACAGGAAGTGGGGGAGAGGGAGTAACATCGATGTCAGAGAGAGACATTGATTGGCTGCCTCCTGCATGCCCCCTACTGGGAATCGAGCCCACAACCCAGGCATGTTCCCTGACTGGGAATTGAACCGAGACTTTTCAGTTCATGGGATGATGCTCAGTCCATTGAGCCACACTGGTCTGGGCTCTCCTGATATATTGTTAAGCAAAGAAAAAAATGCTTCTGCCGGCATACCTTGGAGATATTGCAGGTTCGGTTACAGACCATTGCAATAAAATGAATACTGCAATAAAGTAAACCACATGAATTAAAAAAAAATCTTTACCTGAGGATATTTTTCTATTTATCTTCAGATGGAGTGGGAGGGAGGGAGAGAGGGGAAATCAGAGAGACATTTATTGGTTGCCTCCCGCACGACCCTGACCAGGGCTGGGGACCAAACCACAACCGAGGTACATGCCCTTGACCAGAATTGAACCCACGACTCTTGGTCCGCGGGCTTTCGCTCCAACCAGTGAGTCAAACCAGAGCCAAATCACACAAATTTAAAAATTTCCCAGTGCATATAAGAGTTATGTTTACACTGTACTGTGGTCAATTAGTATGCAATAGCTTAATGTCTAAAAAATGTACATTTCATTAATTAAGGAATACTTTATTGCTAGAAAGTGCTCACCATTATCTGAGCATTCAGCAAGCTATAATCTCTTTGTTGGTGCAGGTTCTTACCTTGATGTTGATGGCTGCTGACTGATAAGGGTGGTTGTTACTAAAGGTTGGGGTTGCTGTGGCAGTTTCTTAATATAAGACAGCTGTGAGGTTTGCCACACTGATGGACGCTTCCTTTCAGAAAATTTCTCTGTGTCATGCGATGCTGTTTGATAGCATCTTATCCTCTGTAGAACTTCTTTCAGTATAGGAGTCAATCCTCTCAAACCTGCTGCTGCTTCATCAACTTAAGTTTATGTAATATTCTAAATCCTTTGTTGTCATTTCAACAATCTTTACAGTATCTTCACCAGGAAATTCCATCTCAAGAAATCACTTTTTTATCTGTAAGAAATAATACCTCATCTGTTAATGTTTGGTCATGAGATTGCATCAATTCAGTTACATCTTCAGGCTCCACATCGAATTCTGGTTCTCTCGCTATTTCCACTACATCTGCAGTTAATTTCTCCACTGACTGAAGTCTTGATTGAACCCCTAAAAGTCATCAGTGCGGGTGGATTCATCTTCTTCCAAACCCCTGTTAATGTTGATATTTTGACGTCTTTCCATGAATCACAGATGTTCTTAATGGCATCTAGAATAATGAATTCTTTCTAGAAGGTTTTTAGTTTACTTTGCCCAAATCCATCAGAGGAATCTGTCTATGACATTCACAGCCTTACAAATTATGTTTCTAATATAGTAGGACTTGAAAGTTGAAATTACTCCTTGATTCCTGGACTGCAGAACGGATGTTATGTTATCAGGCAGGAGATGTACATTAATCTCAATGTACATCCCCATTAGAGCTCATGGGTGACCAGGTGCACTGCCAATGAACAGTGATATTTTGAAAGTAATCTTTTTTTCTGAGAGGGAGGTTTCAACTTAAATTCACAGCTGCCTTAGCCTCTAACAAGAGAGTCACCCTGTCCTTTGAAGCTTTGAAGCCAGGCATTGTCTTCTCTCTAGTTATGAAGGTTGTAGATGGCATCTTCTCCCAATATGAGGTTGTTTCATCTACGTTGAAAATCTTTTGTTTAGTGTAGCCACCTTCTTTAATTATGGTAACTGATGTGAATAACTTACTGCGGCTTGTACACAAGCCAAGCGCTTGCTGCTTCACTTTGCACTTTGAAGTTATGGAGACAGCTTATTTCCTTGAACCTCATGAACCAACCTCAGCCACCTTCAGACTTTTCTTCTGCAGCTTCCTCACTCAGCCTTCATAGAATTGAAGAGAGGTAGGGCCTTGCTCTGGATTAGGCTTTGGTCTAAGGGAATGTTGTGGCTGGTTTGATTTTCTATCTAGACCGCTAAAGCCTTCTCCATGTCAATAGTAAGGCTGTTTTTCTTATTCTCGTGTTCACAGAAGTAGCACTTTTAATTTCCTTCATGAACATTTCCTTTGCATTTACAAATTGGCTATCTGTTTGGTGCAAGAGGCCTACCTAGCTTTTGTCTTATATTGGCTTTCAATATGCTTTCCTCACTAAGCTTAATCATTGTTACCTTTTGATTTAAAGTGAGAGACGGGTGACACTTTCTTTCACTTGAACATTTAGAGTCATTGTAGGGTTATTAATTGGCCTAATTTCAATATTGTGTCTCAGGGAATAGGAAGGGCTGTGGAGAGGGAGAAGTATGGAGAATGGCTGGTCAGTGGGGAAGTCAGAGCACACATGTTTATCGATTAAGTTTGCCATCTTATATGGGTGTGCTTCCTGAAGCTCGCAAATAGTGACAGTAGTATCATAAAAGGTCCCTGATCACAGATCACTACAACAAATATAATAATAATGAGTTTGAAATCTTGCAAGAAATACCTAAATGTGACAGAGACACAAAGTGAGTAAATGTTGTTGGAAAAATTGTGCTGATAGACTTGCTCGGTGCAGGGTTGGCACAAACCTTCCATGTATTAAAAACAAACCATAATATCTGTGAAATACAGTAAAGCGAAGCACAATAAAATCAGGAATGTGCTTGTATTTTGTTTGGATGAGGATTGATTTACTGAAACTAAATCATCAGTTTATAAGGTTTAAGCTCAATGTAAATCACTGTGTGTTTACTGTTTTGAATGTTTATTTTTTGTTAGTTTAATGAAGTGTACTTCGTATACAACAAAATTCACCATTTTTAAGTATTGTTCAAATGAGTTTTGACCAATGTTAAACCACGACAAACAAGATACAGAACATCTTCATTTCCCCAAGAAGTTCCGTTGGGCCTACTTGGAGTCACTCTTCTCCTTCTGTTCTACAAAAGGAATTGTACCATATATAGTCTTTGTGTCTCGCTTTTTTCTCTACCATATTGCTGTTAATCTCTTTAGCCTTTCTGTACTTTATCCCTTTTTTTTTCTGCCTCCTTTTATTTTTTTTCCTTTATTGATTTTAAAGAGAGAGGATGGGAAAGGGAGAGAGAGAGATAGAAACAGAAATGAGAGAGAACATCAGTTGGCTGCCTCCTGTATGTTCCCCTCTGGGGATTGGGCTCACAACCTGAGTATGTGCCCTGACCGAGAATCGAACCAGCGACCTCTTGGTGCATGGGTCAATGCTCAACCACTGAGCCACACCAGCCAGTCTGTCCTATTTATTTTTAATGGTTGCTATAGGCCAGGAATTGTTAGTGACTGGTTTGCAGAGCCATAGTTTTACCATGACCTTTAATTGGGTCTTTGAGTTCACAGCCATCTTTGTAATAGTAGGGAAATATTATTTGCCTTTTTTACAGTGTTGACATTTCTACTGATGGTGCAGAAACAATGATGGGTAAACTCGTGGCACCTCCCCTGCTCCCAAAACTATCTCCTCTACTCACTGAGATTTCCGGATGTTATTTGGGTTTCCTCTCATTGTGTTGCAGCCTTGAAATTGCTTCCAGGTTTTTACCTGAAGTGGTCAAAAGACTGGACTCCCATTTGTTGGTCTTCTCTCAGGGATCACAGTCCTGTGCTACCTGTTTTCCAGTGTCTGAAAGCACTTGTTTCCTGTATTTTCCCCCATTGTTGTAGTGGTTTATAGTGTAATGGCAGTTCCTGTGGCACTTAAGCCTCCATGGCTGGAACCCTCCTTTAATGTTGAATAGTGACTGCATTATGCTAAACAGAAACAGCTGCCCTTCTGACCATATTTGTCAAGTTACGTTAAAATGTTTTGTGCTATGCTATTTACAATAGCTAAGATCTGGAAACAGCCCAAGTGTCCATCAGTAGACGAATGGATAAAAAAGCAGTGGTACATATACACAATGGAGTACTATGCAGCTGTAAGAAAGAAAGATCTCTTATCCTTTGAGACTACATGGAGGGACCTGGAAAGTATCATCCTAAGTGAAACAAGCCAAACAGAGAAAGAAAGACAAGTTTCATATGATCTCACTTATTTGTGGAATGTAATGAACATAACAGTCTGAGGAATGGGGTAGTCCCAGAGATGTGGAAGTGGGGTACAGACTGACAATCCCCAGAAGAGGGGGTGGTGGGGGAGAGATAAACCACAGAACTTATATGCATGTATGCATGAACAATGGATATGGACAACAAACTGGGGACAGGGCAGGGAGGGAGGGGGAGGGGGGAATCAGTGGGGGGAAAAGGAGAAACATCTGTAACAAAAATTAATTAATAAAAAATAAATTAATAAAATGTTTTGTGCTATGAAAAAAAAAGATATATGTATATATGCGGGATTTTTTTTGGGAAAAGGGAAGTTTTCCCTTTGGTTTCATGTTGTGATATAGTCACTTCTAATTAAAATCTTTTTATTGTTTTAGATTAGGGCTCCACTTCTTGCCTTCTTAGCTCAGTTTTTGAGAGTGATCAGGAAGCCCGGCCAGTGTGGCTCAGTGGTTGAGCATCGACCCATGCACCAAGAGGTTGCTGTTTCAATCCCGGTCAGGGCACATGCCCAGGTTTTGGGCCCGATCCCCAGTGGGGGCATGCAGGAGGCGGCCAATTGATGTTCTCTCTCATTGATGTATTCTCTCTCTCTCTCTCTAAAGATCAATAAAGAAAAAATTTAAAAACTTTAGTGATATTAAGATAATCTAATAAGCAGTTATGACATTCAGCTGTTGTAAGTTCTTCATTGATTTCTATAGTAAAATTGAGAGGTTAGAGAGCTATAAGGGAATTAACTCAAATTGTAGGATGGAAGTGTATTTGTTTCTCAATGTGGTAGTATATGACATTTTTAGTTTTTGGATCTGTTACTCTAAGCAAATTTTTGCAATCCTTTTGCTTAATTACTAATTTCAGTTAGGGTTCTCAATTTAAAAATTGGCGAAGTGTTGGTCTGTGTTATATATTATGTTCAGAGAAGATGCATCTTATGGTGGGGCATTATATAAGGAATTGTTTACATAAAATGCTAATGTTTTGATAATTTTCCAGACCCCACAACCATCTGACACTTTTTATCCATTAACACTGACTCTGAACCTGTTAAATATCTCTGAAAGTGTATCATTTGAAAAATAATGAAGCAAAGACACTTTTTCAAAATCTGGTTTTGTACTTGAATTAAGAATTATGGTTACTGGCTATGCTAACAGCAATCTCAGAGAGAGAAACTTAAGCTTAGTCAAAGAGGCACATGGAGCTACCTCCCTTAACTGTAGATGCTCTCGCAGGACACGTGGGGCGGGGGGGAACTAGAGTTACAGTTTATTGAAGACCAAAAAGGTGTTACTCCTTTGTTATTTTTTCAAATAGTAGAGAAGAAATGCCACTACTTTTCTCTGCACCAGAAAAGTTGCTGTGTTCTAGTGAGAGACATTGGGCAATAATATTTAAAGAAAACACTTTTTTCTTTATTGATATTACAGAGAGAGAGGAAGGGAGAGGGAGAGGGAGAGAGAGAAACATCGATGAGAGATAACATCAGTTGGCCGTCTCCTGCATGCCCCTCAATGGGGATTGGGCCCACAACACGAGCATGTGCCCTGACCAGGAATCGAAATGGCGACTACTTGGTGCATGGGTCGATGCTCAACCACTAAGCTACACTGGCCGGGGGCATAAGATTTTAATGAAACGTATCTTGTATAAATAAGGGGTATTACTGTGAACTAGCAAAAGGAAGCTTTCACTGAAATGTGTTTCCACATGTTTACTTGCTGGGATTTCAAAGGTTCTGCTGAGTTTTTTTTTGTGGTACTTACTATCTAAAAGAAAGACCTTGTGAATTTTGAATCTTTTCTTTGACTTAGTTATGAATATATAGGACATCTTCAGTTATTTAAAAACAAACAAACAGGAATTCCAACACATTGCTAATGTAATTTAAAAAAATGTGTTTTTATTGATATTTTAGAGAGAGGAAGGGAGGGAGAGAGAGATAGAAACCTCGATGTGAGAGAGATACATCGATTGGCTGCCTCCTGCATGCCCACCCCTGGGGATCAAGCCCGCAACCCCAGCATCTTGCCTGACGGGGACCTCTCAGTCCATGGCTTGGATGACACTCAATCCACTGAACCACACCGGCTGGTGCTAATATCATTTTAATTGTAGTCTACTGAAAGTTTTTTTGTTTTGTTTGTATAGATTATGATTTTATGTTCATTACTTGAATTTTCAGGTGATGGAGAGGTAATTGAACAAATTATAAGCCTACAGACTAATGATAATGGTGAAGGAAGCCCAGAGTCCAGTGTTCTTGATGGAATGATAAGACAGCTGCAGCAGCAGCAAGATGAGAGAATGGGAGTTGCACAGGATAATATTCCAAATGGACTTCCAAATGGGGAAGAAACTCCACGAAGAGGTAATAAATATGGCTGGATTAAAATTGAAGAATAAATGAAGTCATTGTCAGGTACATGTTATGTGAAAAACTTAAAGGAAGTATGTATTTTTACAATTTAAGTATTAGTCTGGAGGTAACTTTGTTGGCTGTAGAGTTGATGTACCAACAAATAGACATTTGATTTTCAAGTACTATGAAAGGTTTCTTGAAGGAAAACTACAGTTCTAGATTTCCTTGCTTTAAGCATTTATAATTAAAAAAACACCAAGAAACAAAACTGAATTGGGTAGGGCACTGATGTTTTTTATTATGAATCAGAAGGCTTGAAGTAAATTTTCAGGACCAAGTACTTGATATTGGAGTGTAGTAGTAATTACATTAGTAGTGGAAATAATACAGAGGAGATTGGCAGTTGTTATACTATCTGATGTACAGTCTTGACTCACATTTCCCCAGTTATCTCAACATTGTTATTCATGCTTTTTTAAATTTTAGGATTTAATCAAGCCCTGCTCATTGCATTTAATTCTTATGTCTCTTTTAATCTAGAACAGTTTCCTCGTGGCACTACTTTAGTTCAGGCTTGTTTCACAGAATTGGCCTCAATTTGAATTTTGTCTGATTATCACATGATTGGATTCAGGTTAAACATTTTAGGCAGGAATACTACATGGTTGGTGCTATGTTCTCAGTGCATCAGAGAAGAGGCATAGAGGCATATGCATTCTTCTGCATTCCTTACCAGTATATTCTAGAAATCATCTAGAAATCATAACCATTTGCAAAACTCTTCACCTTTTTACAGCTTCTTAGTACTCCGTTGTGCGGAATAAACAGTCTTTGTAATTAATCATTTTATGGCTATTTATTTCTCATTCTTGTTATTACAAGTAATGTGATTAAAAAAAACAAAAAACCTGTGCCTATGTTTTCTTCAGGTTGTTGGAGAATTAATACTATGACTTGGGCTGTTAAATTTAGAGTTTTAGTTCTCAATTCAAAAAATGTTTCTTAAGCATCAATTTTCTTTTAATCCTCACTGAAGGATATTTTTTCATTGATTTTTAGAGAGAGTGGAAGGGAGGGAGGGAGAGTTAGAGAGAGAGACATCAATGTGAGAGAGACACATTGATTGGATGAGAGAGACATTGATTGGTTGCCTCCTGCACGACCCCAACTAGGGGATTGAACCTGCAACCCAGGTACATGCCCTTGACCAGAAATCGAACCCACAGCCGTTTTGTCCACGGCCCGATACTCTAACTGCTGAGCAAACTGGCCAGTGCAGTATCAGTACATTTTAATAAAAATATTTAATGCTATTTCTAGTGGGTGAACCAATTTAATGCAAAGTGATTCATTTGATAGGTAAACAGAAGGCTGTGTGTGGAAGAATGTAGAAGTTTTGTTCATGCACGTGGATTTACCGTAGGCCAGAAGAGCTGGCATAGCTTGAGTAGAATTTTATAGCCTCCTGCAGGAAAGGAATCTATAGCCCCCAGTTTCTCTGTTGCATTAATAGCAGGAGTCCCTTCACCCTTTGTTTTAAGAAAAACAAGCACTTTGCCTGGGACTTCCTCTTCCCCCACACAGGTCTACATCGTTTGTGACTTCCAGCTTGTGGGAGGTTGTCTTGCCTCCGGTGCTCACCTGATTAGCTCTGCACAGGCTCAGGATTCACTGTTGTCTGCATTGCCCTATCACCCACTTGCCCAGCTTCAATTCAAGTGTTGCCAGTATTTCCCCGCTTTGCAGTTTTGTGAATTTTTAATACCCACTCTGGCAGCTGCCTGCCTGAGTGGCTTGTATTATCTTTGAGGCTGCAGTTAATACTGTAACAGAGCAGCTGCATTTTGAGGAGTCTATCTTCAATGCTAATTTTTCCAAAAAGATGTATTTTTAGTTTGCTGTTTAGAAGGCAAGGTTTTTATGAATGCAAATGCAGTGTTATAATAGAAAATGCATGTACATTAAAAAATTTCAGAAAGTCGAGTAAAAATGGAAATTGAGGTTAATAGTTAATGTTTGTTCTGTAGTCTACATTTTGATCTCAGTCACACGAGGATTCTTTTTTCCAGAGTTTTTTCAGTAGATCTTTATTTTTGGTTTGTATCTCAGAAGGACTGTATATATTGTGTGTTAAATGCATCTAGATCAAATTTTGTTTTGAAATCATTTCTTAACAATTTTTTCTTAGGTTTTAGAAGACTAAGCTTAGACATTCAGTCCCCTCCAAATATTGGTCTGCGTCGTAGTGGACAAGTTGAAGGCGTTCGTCAGATGCATCAGAATGCTCCCCGTAGTCAGATTGCTACAGAGCGTGATCTGCAGGCATGGAAACGAAGAGTGGTTGTACCAGAGGTACCACAAGGCATATTTAGGTTTGTTTTAGGATATCTATTAATACTGTTTTTATCTACAAAAATATATCCATATGGTTATTTACATGTATTAAATCCATATGTGGTGCAAATAATCATATAAATATATTTTAGCAGTGGGTTGGAGTCTATTTTAATTGTGGTAAGAAAATGTCAGACTTGTTCTCTAACTCTTTACTGTGCTAAATTTTTTGATAACCAGTCTTGGTTCATCTACACAAACACCCACTTTCTTCCCTTCAGTATTATTTTGAAATCCTAGACATCATTTTGTAAAAAGCATGTCAGTATGTATTTCTGAACGATAAGGAATTGTCTTAAATATATAAGTGTAATGCCATTATTGTGTGTTAAAAACAGCAGACAATTCTTCAATAGAACTAAATGTCGTCAGTGTTTAAATTTCCAGTTGTCTAGATGTCAGATGTTTTTAGTTCTTTTGTAAGACGTTTAATTAGAGCTAATAATTTTGTCAGAGGTTAATTTTGTGTGTGCGTGTGTGTGTATGTGTATATATATACTGATTTATAAGTGTGTGTGTGTGATGCTGGTAGGCATTGATGCTCACTTTTTAGAATCATTAATTCATTAGGGCTACAGTTCAGGCATATATAGTTTGTCTTTATCTAGTAATAGTAGAAATTTTGTTCATTCGAAAATCTTTTATAATATCACTTCTTTTTTTTTTTTTTTATCCTCACCGAGGACATTTTTTGTTCAGATAGAGTGGGAGGGGGAGAGAGAGAGAGAAACATTGATGTGAAAGGGACACATCGGGTGACTGCCACCCGCATGACCAACCAGGGCCGGGGACAAACTGCAACCAAGGTAAATGCCCTTAGCGGGAACCGAACCCGGGTCTCTCTGGACCGCAGGCCGACCACTGAGCCAAACTGGCCAGGGCAATATCACTTCTTTTTAGCTGAGTGATATTAGCAATTTGTTAGGCATGGAATTGCACACAAAAATGATTGAAGGCTAGAATGCACCTTTTTAAAAATTATTATTGATTGAGAATGAATTGTATGTAGTGTTTTGTAAAAACAGATACGGGGTAGGAATTTAATTTGACTGAAAGTGAGAAACCTCATATAATTCCTTAAATACATATAAAAGTGGTAAAATTGACAACTTGTGAAGGGTTGAGTCTAATTTACAATCACTCTGTGGATGGAATAATGTTCCATTGTAATTTGAGTATGGGCTGCAGATGAATATTGAGAAAAAGTGATATTAGAAATACGTTTTTGTCCTTACAGAAATTGTGCTTGTACTTATTTGAGTGTCCAGTTATATCTTGGAGAATGGTCAAGATGTCAGTTTTGAATCTTTTCTGGTGTTTTTTTTTCCCCCTCTTTATTGATTTTAGAGAGGAAGTTGGGGGGAGATAGAGACATCAATGAGAGAGAACATTGATTGGCTGCCTCCTGCATGCTCCCCCACTGGGTATCTGGCCCACAACTCGGGCATGTGCCCTGACTGGGAATCGAACTGGAGACTCTTGGTGCATGGGTCAATGCTCTACTACTGAGCCACACTGGCTGAGCCTGGTGGGGTTTTTAAATGAACAAAAACAAGCTGTGTTTTTTCAGTAATCAACTTGGAGAATGAGGACATTCAGTCAGTTGAATGAGGATAGTTACTCATTCTCTAACCATGGAGAAGGTAAATAATGATCAGTACCTTTGTCATGGTGCAAGGTCCCTTGCTTTGAAATTGGTCAGGGTAACAGTGTTTCTTTTGTATCATGTAAGTAAAACACAGGTGATTAGAAGAACTGGTAACATTGCTATATTCTGGCTTTCTACAAAGTATACAACATGCATTTTAAAGAGTTTGGAGGAGGATTCTGCTCTTATTTTTTCTTCAGAGAAAGGAATTTTAAATACAAGGACACTCTGAGTAGCTAATTTGGGGGAAGCTTGTTTTAGTTGATCCTAATTGGGACAATCAGAATACAAACAAATGACAATTTCTGTGTAAAATACGAAAAATAGGACTTTCTAGCTGCTGCTAAGATTTTATTTATATTCATGTTTAATTTCTGTTATATTAAAAAATTTTTTTTCTTTATTCATGTTAGAGAGAGGAAAGGAGAGGGAGAGGGAGATAAAAACATTGATGACAGAGAATATTGATTGGCCGCTTCTTGCATGCCCCCCACTGGGCATGTGCCCTGATTGGGAATTGGGCCAGTGACTTCTTGGTACATAGGTTGACGTTCAACCACTGAGCTACACTGGCTGGGAAAATTTCTTTTTGTAATATGTTCTTTTACATTGATTTTTAGATAAGAGAGTAAGGGAGAGAGACATGGAAACATCAATGAGAGAGAAACATTGATTGGCTGCCTCCTGTACACTCCATACTGGGGATTGAGTCCACAACTTGGGCATGTACTCTGACAGGGAATTGAGCTGGAGACTTCTTGATGCATGGGATGATGCTTAATCCACTGAGCCACACCATCTGGGCAATATTCGTATTAAATTTCTGACATAAAGTACAACTTAAGTTTGCTATAACTTTAGGTATTTTCTATATTAAAGTGTATAAGCTTATGATTTTTAGAGTCATAAAGAATGCTTTTTTTGTTAATATCTTTAACTTATTTATCAGTTCAGTAATTAATATACCTGTATAACTAAATTTGCAGGAAGTTGGAAGACTTCAGAATAGAGAAAGGTGAAGAGGAAAAAAATCTCTATGTAATTGGAAGAAAAAAGAAAACTCTTCAGCTCTCACCAAAGGTAACATAAATTCTGTTTTTCTTAGGAATAAGCAATTTAGAAATTAAACTGAAATTTTTAGTTTTGTTTTGATCATTGAGAATATTAATAATTTTACCTGAAACAGAATAATATGTCTTAAAGCCACTGTTTGGGATTTAAAATAGTAGACATAAGGTTGTACAGCTGTTAGGAAAGAGTAATAGTTTGAAAACTTGGGGAAAGTAGCCTAATGTCTAATAGTGTTAACAGATTCTAGAGAAGTATTGTCTAATGACCACTCAGGTCAAGAACTAGAACACTATCAGCCCATCAAAAGCATCTTGTGTTCATTCCTAATCACTACACTCTCTTCCATAGGTAACTGTCTTACTTCTAAAACTGCTGATTATTCTTGTCTGTTTCTGAAGTTTATCCAAATCATACATTTATAAACATTTTTAGATGTTACAAGGGTTTGTAAACTTCCAAACTCAAGAAAATCTTATTCCTTAGTATTTAATTTCTCTATTTGAAATTTCATGAACATCACATGAACAGCGTTAATATTGAATTCATGGAAGATAGACAAAATGTATGTAAGATGAGTACTACAAAACTTGGTGAAAATGGTTGTGCTTGCAGGATTTTCCCAGAATTGATCACAAGGATGGGCTTTAGTTCCTTGGGATTATGTCTAATTCTTCATAGCCTTGTTAGCTATATAATACCTTCCAACTGACTTTTTTTCTTTTAGAGAGAGAAAGGGAGAGAGAGAGAGAAACATTGAGTCCGAAACCCAGGCATGTGCCCTGACTGGGAGCAACCTTTTGGTGTGTGGGATGACGCCCAACCAACTGAGCCACACCAGCCAGGGCTCAAACAAATGTAAAAAAACAAATTTTTTTTGACAGAGTACTTGTTCTTCTGTGTTTACACATTATCAGTCATGTTAACAAAAATTAATACTGACAAATTAAGGAAAGCATAATTCATTTTAAAATCAGCCAGTGATACGTTGAAATGATAATACACCCTGTTGATTATCAAACAGAAGACACTAATGTGAAAATTTATTTGTATATTAATTCAAGGAATATGTGCTTTTTAATTTAAATCCTCACCTGAGGATGCCCCCCCCCCCCACTTCATCTTCAGATAGAGTAGGAGGATCGGGGCAGGGGGTAGGGGAGACAGCAAGAAAGAAAAACTTGGATGTGAGAGAGAGACATCATCTGGTTGCCTTTCGCACAATCCTGACCAGGGCCGGGGATCAAACCGCAACTGAGGTATTGACCAGAATTGAACTCATGACTCTTTAGACCATGGGCTGACACTCTTAACGGTTGAACCAAACTGTCCAGGGCAAGAAATATATGCTTTTTATTGAGTGATTTCATGTATGACTTTGGTGTTTGAGAAAATAAAGCTCCCCTTCCCCCTTAAAATACAATCTAGCTGGGCCATAGTGGCTCATTGGTTGAGTTCGTCCTGTGCACCGGATTGCCAGTTCGATTCCAGGTCAGGGCATGTACCTGGGTTGTGGGTTCAATTGTTGGTCAGGACATGTATGGAAGGCAACTGATCAGTGTTTCTCTCTCACATCAATGTTTGTTTCTTTCTCTCTCTCATCCCCCCTTCTCTGTCTAAGTATGGTGAGGACTTAAAAAAATCTATTTTATTTGGCTGATTTTAAAGATTATTTTGTTCTGATAAAATATTTTAAAAATTCAAATTCAAGCAGAATTGAAAAGTATTGACAACAAATCAAAACCTAGAGATAATTAGCGTTAATATTTGAGGATTATTTCAGATATTTCTCTGTAGCTGTACATATAACCTTATTTCTTAAGGTTAGTTACTGCATCATAATATATATTTTCATTGTTTTTTTTAGAAACATTGATGTCAGAGAGACACATCGATTGGTTGCCTCCTGCACGACCCCGACTGGGGCCAGGGATTGAACCTTTAACCGAGGTACGTGCCCTTGATCAGGAATTGAACCTGTGACTCTTTGGTCCACAAGCCAGCATTCTAACCGCTGAGCCAAACCTGCCAGGGCTAAGATATATATTTATAAAGTGATAAACTTTTTGAGTTATTATCTCATTCATGGTCATATAATTAACATAAAGTTTTATTTGGAAAATGCTGATCTAATGTGCCTAATTTAGCCATGTCTTTTAAGTATCTTAAAAATAAAAGTGATTTAGCCCTGGCCGGTTTGGCTCAGCGGTTAGAGCGTCGGCCTGCGGTCCTGGGAGACCCGGGTTCGGTTCCTGCTAAGGGCACGTACCTCGGTTGCAGTTTGTCCCCGGCCATGGTCGGTCGTACGGGTGGCAGCCACTCGATGTGTTCCTTTCACATCGATGTTTCTCTCTCTCTCTCTGTTCCTCTCTCTCCCTCCCACTCTACCTGAACAAAAAAATGGGAAAATGTCCTCTGGTGAGGATTAAAAAAAAAAAAAGTGATTTAACAGCATAAGGCAAAAAATAAAATCCATTAAAAATATTTTCTTTGATTTTTCAACCATTATTTTTTACTTTTTGCCTTAAATCTTTTGGGGAATCTGATAGAATGACTATTTTGTTGAAATTGTACTTATTCAGGTACTGATTTTCATCTGCATGTTTCTTTATGTTACAGTCTGATTCAGTGGTTTTGATGTCACAGTTTAGGCAGAGGACATGTAGGCGTAAATATCCAAATTATAGTAGAAGAAATGTTGGACGGATTGAGTTATCTTCTGGAAATGAATCTTCAAGCTCTATAAGACATGTGAGTTTATAACTTTAAAATGTATAAAATAATCTTAAATAAATCTTACTTTGACTCTACCCTGAAATTATGTGAAAAGACAGTATTCTATAGAGGTTAAGATGAAATTTCACATTTTGAGTTTTAACAAAAATTATGCACAGCTTTGTTGAGATACTTAGTATCCTACTGAACTGTCCAGAAGTTTTTGTATATTAACAGAATTGTGTCATTATCACTACTGTTTAATTTTAAAATAAATACTTTCATCACCTCTAAAAAGAAACCCTATACCTATTTTATTTATTTATTTATTTATTTTTAGTTATTCCTCATTCCCATCCCACCCAGTCTCTGGGAACCACTAATTTACTTGCTATTTCTGTGGATTTGCCTGTTCTGAACATTGCATATAAATGGAATCATACAGTATGATTTTGCGACTGGCTTTTTTCACTTAGTGTAATGTTTTCATGGTTGATTTATGTGTAGCATGTATAAGTACATCTTTCTTTTTTATTGCCCAGTATATGAAAATACCACATTTTGTTTATTCACTCATCAGCCGATATTTGTATTATTTTCACCTTTTGGCTATTAATGAGTAATGTTGCTTATTAACTAACATTCATGTGCAGGTTCTTAGACATAAGTTTTCAGTTCATTTGGGTATATATTTAGGAGTCATGTGGTAATCCAGTGTTTAAACTGTTGAGGAATTACTAGCCTGTTTCCCAAAGTAGCTGCACTATTTTATATCCCCATCAGCATTGTATGAGGGTTCCAGTTTTTCCATATCTTTGCTGACACTTGTTATCTGTTCTGATTTTAGCTATCTTAGTGAGTATGAAGAGGCATCTCACTGAGGTTATGATTTGAATTTCCCTAATGACTGATGACGTTGAACATGTTTTCATATGTTTATTTTCCATTTGTACGTCTTTGGAGAAATTTCTATGCAAATCTGTTGCCCATTTTCAGTTTGGTTGTTATTTTTAATTGCTGTAAGAGTTCTTTCTGTATTCTTGATACAAGTCCTTTATCAGATATATGACTTGCAAATATTTTCTCTCATTCATTGGGTTTTTTCACTTTGATGGTTTATTTTAAAGCACAAAAGTTTTATATTTTTTGGAGTCCAGTTTATTTTTTCCTTAGTTGCTTTAGCTGTCATGTCTAACCCCTTTACTTGACTTTCAGTAACTACATGTAATGCACTGGTCTTCATTTTTATTTTTCTTGGGAAACCAATATTTTTGGTAAAGAGTTTTTATAAAGTAATATTAGAATGTTAATATATTCTAATTCAGTAATGTTTTGAGGGATGAAATGTTTCATATGGTTGAATATTTTATTGCTTTATGAAGCAGTAAGATAGTAGTCAAGCATAGGGTTCGAATTTAAATCCAAATTCTTTCACTTAGATAACTTGTTTAACCTTTCTGTGCTTCTCAGAGATACTGTAAGAATTAATTTAACCATATAAAGTCCTTAAAACAGTGCCTAATATCCAATAATGTTAGTTGCTGTTATCATCAGAACTGTTCATTTAAATGATTTTTTTAAATTTATTTTTTGTTAATCCTCACCCAAGGATATTTTTCCATTGTTTTTATTTATTTATTTATTTATTTAATCCTCACCCAAGGACACTTTTGCATCATCTTCAGATGGAATGGGAGGGGGAGAGAGAGGAAGAAAGAGAGAGAAACATTGATGTGGGAGAGACACATTGAGTGGCTGGCACCCACATGACCCCAACTGGGACCGGGGACAAACTGCAACCGAGGTATGTGTCCTTCGTGGGAACTAAACTCGGGACTCTTCGGTCCATGGGCCAATGCTCTAAATGCTGAGCCAAACCAGTCAGGGCTCCATTGTTTTTATATAGAGTGGAAGGAAGGGGGATGGAGGGGAGGAACAGAGAGAAAGAGAAAGACAAACATCTCTGTGAGCCACATTGATTGGTTGCCTCCCACAGGACCCTGGCTGGGGCCAGAGATTGAACCTGCAACCCAGGTATGTGCCCTTGACTGGGAATTGAACCGAGACCCTTTGATCCTTGGGCTAACACTCTAACCGTTGAGCCAAACTGGCCCAAGGCTAAATGATTTTGTTTTATGTAATGAGACTGTTAAAAAAATTTTTTTTAACTTATATTGAGCATGTTTTAACCCTTTAGTTTTATTTGTATTAAAAAAAAATTTTTTTTCCTTTATTGATTTTAGAGAGAGAGGAAGTGAGAGGGAGAGAGAGATAGAAACATCAATGAGGGACAACATCGATTGGCTGCCACCTTGCATGCTCCTCGTTGAGGATTGGGCCCACAACCTGGGCATGTGTTCTGACCGGGAATAGAACCAGTAACTTGGTGCATGGGTTGATGCTCAACTGGTGGGACTTAACCCTTTGTTAATGATTTTGGGTAATTATGATAAACATTCTCACCCCACTTCTCTAGATAACTCTTTTCACTACTAGTTGGTTTATCCTTCCTGTTCCCCCCCACATTGTTAGATACGTATATATTTTATTATTTCTACTTCGTACAAAAATATAGCATTACAACAGATGCTCTTTTGTACTTGGCTCTTTTCACTTAAAATATCCTTTTTATTTTCGTAATCCTTACCTGAAGATGTTTTTTTCTATTGATTTTTTAAATTTTTTATTTTTTATCCTCTCCTGAGGACATTTGTGCATCTATCTTCAGATAAAACAGGAGGGAGAGAGAGGGGAAGAGAGAGAGAGAAACATTGATGTGAGAGAGACACATCGACTGGTCGCCATCCACATGACCCCAACTGGGGCTGGGGACAAACTGCAACTGAGGTACATGCCCTTAGCGGGAACTGAACCCCGGACTGTCTGGTCCACGGGCTGACACTCTAACCACTGAGCAAACTAGTCAGGGCTTATTTTTTAGGCAGAGTGGAAGAGGGTGGGGGCAGAGAGAGAGAGAGAAACATTGATGTGAAAAATATGACAGACACATAGATGGAGTGTTTTCCACAAGCACCCTGACTAGAGCCAGGGATTGTACCTGTAACCCAGGTACATGCCCTTGACCGGAAATCAAACCCGTGATCCTTTGGTGCGCAGGCTGATGGCTCCAACCACACTGACCAGGGCCTATTGAAAAGATTCTTGAGCCCTGGCCAGTTTGGCTCAGCAGTTAGAGCATGGGCCCTCCGACCAGAGAGTCCTGGGTTTGGTTCCTGCTAAGGGCACATACCTCATTTGCGGTTAGTCCCCAGCCCCAGTTGGGGTCCTGTGGTTGGCAAGCCACTCAGTGTGTCTCTCTTACATCAATGTTTCTCTCTCTCTCTCTTCCCCCCTTTCTCCCTCCTGCTCTATCTGAAGATAAAGGCAAAAATGTCCTCGGGTAAGGATAAAAAAAAAAAGAAAATATTCTTGAAATCACATTATATCAGTTCATAAATATCTTCCTCTTTTTTTTCTTTTTTTTTTTTTAGTTGAATCATATTTAATTGTGTGATTATAGCAATTTATTTAACCACTCTGCAGGTTTTGGCCATTTAGGATGTTTCCAGTATTTTTGTTATAAATAATGCTATAAGTTATGTATTTTCATACCATATTTTAGAGGGTATATTACTTGAAATGGGATCGCTGGGTTAAAAAATACATGTTTTTATTGATATTTTAGAGAGAGAAGAAGGGAGAGATAGAAACATCGATGTGAGAGAGAGATGTCAATCAGCTGCCTTCTGCACACCCCCTACTGGGGATTAAGCCCTCAACGTGGGCATGTGCCCTGACCAGGAATTGAACCAGGACCTCTCAGTCCATGGGATGATCCTCAATCCACTGAGCCACGCTGGCTGGGCCATATATATTCTTTTATACAGATACTTTTACTACGTCTCTTCTAATTTTTATCTCTCTAATTGATTTCTTTTGTCTGATTGAATTCTTGAATATTTTCAGTACAGTATTGAATAGTAATGAAGAAACTGGACCATATTCCGGTTTTTGGTGGAAATGTCTGTCATTTTCACATTATGTTACATGCTTTATTTATTTTAGGTCTCTACAATATACATAAATATTTTACTGTGTTAGGGGAATACCAGTTAATACTTTTTTTTCTTCATTGTTCTTTTTGGAAAATCAAGAATGATGATAGATTTTTTTTTTTTTGTCTTTTTAAAATCATCAGTGGTGTTACTCTTCTGATTTTTCTCATTGTATTTATTAATTTGATGTATTTTCAATTAACCGAGAACTTTTAAACTAATATAAACATAGATAATGTAGAATGTTAATCCATTTGACCTTTTAAAATCATAATTTTGTGTTGTGGTAGTTTGTTTTACCTCTTACAGTAGTATGAATTCATTATGCTGTGTTGTCGCAGAGGTGGGAGGTATGTGTGTGTGTTGGTTCCATTCTGTCTTGGTTTGGAAAGTTCTGATGGTAGAAAAGCATGGGCTTTAGCGTTAGCTTCAGTTTACATTCCATTTTTTAACCTTAGTGTCCTGAGACCCCAAGCATACTGCTTTACATTTGTTAGCATTGGGTTTCCCCATATATAAAGAAGTAATAGTTTGCAGGTAGGGCCTTGGGAGACAACAGAACTCATAGGTGGATCCAAGTTTTGTGGGATTTGAAACTTGTATAATTTTAGGGACCTTCTTTAAGAAAAATAACTCAAAATTACAAATAGGCACCAGGGCCTTGTCGAATTGAAAGCCTCTGAAACTTAAGTTTCATTAGCTTCATGTTAACACTGTATTTAATAAGGGGTTTTGAGAATTAATTGAGATAATACATGTAAAATATTTGAGAGTGCCTGGTTTCCAGGTAGTAGTTAAGAGTTTATTTTATTACTCTGATTTTAAGTCCATTTTGAGTATGAAAAGCAGATTCTTTTTTTGTTAAATCCTCACTGAGGATATTCCTCCATTTATTTTCAGATAGAATGGGAGGGAGGGGTAGAGAGAGAGAGAGAGAGAAAAACACCAATGTGAGAGAGACTCACTGATTGTTTGCCTCGCATACGACCCCAACTAGGGCGTGGGACAAACCTCAATTGAGGTACGTGCCCTTGAACCCGTGACTCTTTGGTTCTCAGGCCAATGCTCTAACCACTGAGCAAAAGCAGCTGGGCTGACATTGCATTTTGCCTATTCAAATGAAGTAAACAAAGGTAGATGTTTACCTGAGATTTGATGTTTCACATTTCAGTTCTTGGTGGTATTTTCTTTTTTTTTTTTTTTAAATCCTCACCTGAGGACATTTTTCCATTGATTTTTTTAGATAGAGTGCTAGGGAGGAAGAGGGAGAGAAACATTGATGTGAGACACATCGATTGGTTGCTCCTGCACAACTCCAATGGGGGGCGGGGATCGAACCCACAACTGAGGTATGTGGCTAGGAATCAAACCTATAACTCTTGGGACCCCGGGCTGATGCTCTAACTGCTGAACCAAACTAGCCAGGGCCTCGGTGGCATTTTCATCATCCATTATTGATGCACCTAATGTAAATGGCTATTAGAGGGGGAAAAAGGGGTCCTGTCTCCATTTAAAAGTATCTGCCTCGTATCCAGGACCAGAACTTAAAGTAGATTGTAGCTAATAGAGTTGTGCAATCAGAGAATAGTTTGTTTCCATTTCTTTTTATTGACTTCAAAAATACTTGACGTTTTAGGTTTCACAGAAAAATTAGTAAGTACATTGAGTTCTCATATACTCTCTTGCCCCCTGCACACAGCGTTTCCTGTTAGTAATGTCTTGAATTAGTGTGGTACATTTGCTACAGCTGATGAACCAATATTTCTATGTTGTCTTCTCTCCCTAAAAAAGCAATAAAAATATATGTTAAAAATAAGCATTGGTAAAAGATCTAACATATACCCCATCAAAGAAATTATTCAGATGGCAAATAAAGATGTGAAAAGATACTCGACATCATATGACATTAGGGAATTGAAAGTGAAACAACGGTGAGATACAGTACGCCTGTTACAGTGGTTTAAGTCCAAAACACGTTTACATGACTTACTAACTTCACTTGGAGATCAAGATTTTTATTTTATTTATTTTTTCTCATGAATTAGACTTCCTGTGATCAAAGTGAAGGTTCTTGTTCTTCTGAAGAAGAGGAATGGAAAAGTGACAGAAGAAGTGAAAGTGATAGTGAAAGTTCAAGGTATCTGTTTTTAATTGTTTTGATCTTTTAAGCATTTTGATCAAAGCCTTGAATACATTAACATTTGAGTTTTTAATACATTTGAAAGAAGAAAACTGGGTTAACAGCTGTTTCTATAGAAAATACTTTGGATATTTTTGTTTGACTGTAAACATTTAAGCTAGGAGTGTAAAATATGTTTACTCAAAATACCTAGTTAGTCTTGGGCTGCATTTATAAACAGTAGTATTCAAAGTATGTGTGGTAAAATCATTAGTGCCGCCTTGGCAGGGTGGCTCAGTTGGTTGGGACTTTGTCCCATACATCAGAAAAGGTTGCAGGTTTGATTACCAGTCGGGGCATGTTCTGGAAGCAACCAATCGATGTTTCTCTCTCACATTGGTGTTTCTCTCTCTTTTCCCCTTCCTCTCTCTTGAAAATCAATAAAAACATGTCCTAGGGTGAAGAGTAAAAAAATAAACAGAAAATGTCATTATTACATTTATTATGTATTATATTTTATTTAGTTTTGATATCCAGATTTTATGGGACCAAGATGTTAACATCTGTTCTTTGTCTTGGTAAATGTAACTTTGTCTTGGCAGATGCTTAAGCCATAAATCTGGACAAAATTCTCTCTTCACAATGTATCTATCACTGACTCCAGAAAATTTTCTTCTAAATATGATTCAAATAATCTTATTTCAGTTTCTACTGATAGTGTGCTGGTCTAGATCACCATACTATATTGCCTGCTTTCTTTCTTGTTTTTATTTCATTATAATTAGGAGCTGGAGTGATTTTTAGAAGACTTCTCTACTCTTAATTTTTTTTAAATGTGGCAAAATTTACTATCTAAATCATTTTTAACTGTACAGTTCAGTAGTGTTAAGTACAGTCACAGTGTTGTGCTGTCAATATCTCCAGAAGTCTTTCATCTTGCAAAACTGAACTAGACCCATCCAACCATTCTGTTAGGCCCCAGTTCTAGGCAATCTCTGTTTTTATATTTATTGTCTTTTAGTTAAACTTCTCTTGAATTTTGTCATGCAAATACTCTTAACTATTTTTTGAAAAGCTCTTTTTATAATAAAAAGGTTTTGGAAATGTGTGTGTTTGTGTGCATGTGTTTTATGGAGCCTGAGAGGGAAGTGGTTGGCCAGTGATGGCCCCAGTAGAGGCCTTTGAGTGTTGGCTGAGGCCGGTGGTGGGCCGGCCGCTACTATTTTGTGTCTAGTTTCCCTTTTGACTTTGATTTTACTTCAGGATGGGCTAGGAGTGGTCTATCTTTTGTATCTTCTATTATATCTGGGAAAGTGCCTCTCAACAAGAAGCTCTGAGCACTTAGTAGCTTTTGTTCGGCATGGCTGTGCTTTCCTTGGCTTCTCAGTGTATTTGCTAATGGTTTGTCATTCCAATTAGAATGTCGAGTCTATTCTAGAGTTGGCTCCAATTTGGGGGGGGGGGCGTTTGTGCACTACTTGTGGTTCTGTGTGACCTCTACTGTTTTTATAACTACAGTTCCTTTTTTATTTATTTATTTTTATCCTCACCCGAGGACATTTTTCTGTTTTTTTGTTCAGGTAGAGTGGGAGGAAGGGGGGGAGAGAGAGAGAGAGAGGAAGAGAGAGAGAGAGAAGAGAGAAACATTGATGTGAAAGGGACACATAGAGTGGTTGCCACCCGCACAACCCAACCAGGGCTGGGGACAAACTGCAACCGAGGTATGTGCCCTTAGCAGGAACCGAACCCGGGTCTCTCTGGACCGCAGGCCGACGCTCTAACCGCTGAGCCAAACCGGCCAGGGCTACAGTTCCTTTTTTAAAAGGGGAATTGTTAGTTGGCTATAGATGTTGTCTTCTATGAATTCTCTCTCATCTATATTATACTTAAAAACAAAATTCCTCAGGCTTACATTCTTTCCTAATTTCCAGTGTCGGTGAAGGTCTCTTAATGATCTTTCTTTTTTTTTTTGCGTATCAAATTTCTGTTTATTTCTTTTTTATTTATTTCTTTATTTTTATTTTATTTTATTTTTGTTACAGATGTTTCTCCTTTTTTACCCCATTGATACCCACCACCCCATCCCACCCCCCACCCCCCCCCGTCCCGTCCCCGGCTTTGTTGTCCATGTCCATTGGTTATGCATACATGCATGTAAGTTCTGTGGTTTATCTCTTCCCACCCCCACCACCCTCTCTTCTGAGGGTTGTTAGTCTGTACCCTACTTCCATGTTTCTGGGTCTGCCCTATTCCTCAGACTGTTACGATCATTATATTCCATATATAAGTGAGATCATGTGGTATTTGTTTTTTTCTGCTTGGCTTGTTTCACTTAGGATAATACTTTCTAGGCCCCTCCATGTTGTCTCAAAGGATAAGAGATCTTTCTTTCTTACCGCTGCGTAGTGCTTATGATCTTTTGTCAATTTAGTATTCACTGATGGAGAGGGCCGATTGTTCACATTGAGGCTTCCTAGGATCTTCCTTTCCCTCCTCTTCATCTCTCCTTCTTCTCTCTCATCTTAAGGTTATATGATTAATGTGCTATGAGGGCTTAGATTCTGGTTCCATACAACTTGAAAATGTTTTCCTTTTCTAGTGACTCTTCATCTCGGTATTCTGATTGGACAGCTGATGCAGGCATCAATTTGCAACCTCCTTTACGAACTTCATCTCGTCGGCGTATTACCCGATTTTGCAGTAGTTCAGAGGATGAAGTGTCTACTGAGAATTTATCTCCTCCAAAAAGGAGACGAAAGAGAAAGAAAGAAAGTAAGCCTAAAAAAGAGGTAAGAAAATATATCTTTAGAAATAACATCTATGTACAGTTTTATAGAGGCGTTTCTGTCCATATTTGAAATGGAAGACTGTTTTTATTGACAATGTTATATCATTAGGAGTTCAGTGTAAAATACAAAACATTTTTGGAAACGCTACTATATTGTTAAAATTTATCTTTCTAATCTGCTCTGAGTTGGACTTGGGACGTAAGCCTTTCTGAATCTGAAAACTTAAAGTGAAAGTTCTGTTTTGCTCAGGATCCCACCCTAACACCTGTTAATTTCAACACCAGAAATATACTTCAAGGCATTTTTTAGGTATTTTCTTCTTCTCTTGTTTGTTATTGCCATGTTTCCCATTTTCATATGTTTGCATTTGCTGTGTTCTATCTTCATATTTTTTTTCCTAATTATGTTTCTATTCCTTATATTTACAGTGCATGTGCTCCTGTTATACAGGTAGCTCTCATTATTTAAAGATGCCATGTCTTTGTATTAGTTATCTATTGCTGTGTAACATATAACCCTAAAACTTAGCTGCATAAAATAGGATGCATGTTATTTTATGTTTGATGGGTTTGGAATTTGGGAGCTGATTAGCTAGGGGATTTGGGCTCATGAGGTTGCCTAATCATGTTGGTTGGGTTTACAGTTGTCTGAGGGCTTGATTGGGGCTAGATGATCATCTTTGAAGTTCATTCATGTAGTTGTTAGCTGGTGTAGCCTCAGTTATCACTGCATGGCCTCTCCATAGGGCATCTTGAGTGTCTTCACAGCTTGGTATCTATATTTTACAAGGCTGGTGATCCAGAAGTGTAAGCCCTGATGCCTTTTATTTATTAAAAAAAATTTTTTTTCTTTGTTGATTTTTAGAGAGAGAGGGAGGGAGAGGGAGAGAGAGATAGAAACATCAATGAGAGAGATGTTTGGCTGCTTTCTGCACGCCCTGCACTGGGGATTTGGCCCACAACCTGGGCATGTGCCCTGACCAGGAATTGAACCGGCGACCTTTTGGTGCATGGGTCTACGCTCAACCACTGAGCCACACCAGCCAGGCACCCTGATGCCTATTATTACCTAGTCTTAAAGTCAAACATTGTTACTGCTGCTTTATTCTTTCTGTTAAAAGCAAGTTGAGCTTATCCTTAAGCAGAGGATACTTTGGAGAGGACGAGTATCAAAGAATTTGTGGTCATATTTTATTTTTTTTTTCCTCACCTGAGGACATTTTTCTATTTTTTGTTCAGGTAGAGTGGGAGGGAGAGAGAGGAACAGAGAGAGAGAGAGAAACATCGATATGAAAGGAACACATCGAGTGGATGCCACCACACGACCGACCAGGGCTGGGAACAAACGGCAACCGAGGTACATGCCCTTAGCGGGAACCGAACCCAGGTCTCTCCGGACCACAGGCCGACGCTCTAACCGCTGAGCCAAACTGGCCAGGGTTGTGGTCATATTTTAAAATCACCAGTCTTGAAACCTCAACTCAAGAGGCTATTACCTGTGATGATTAGTCTGTGGTGAAATTCATAGCAGTGTCTCAGGCAAAGCAGGCTGTGTATTGAAGAGGATTTAGGTTGGAAATTAGCTCCCTTGCGTAGGATATAAAGTGTTATGAAGAATCTGTTAAATTCAGGAGCTGTTACGAAAATGTTAGGTAGATCTAGAATGCAAAGTAGTGATATATTTCTATATATGTTCACGAACCAAATATATATATGGTGTTTAAAAAGTAATTGTTAGGTGACATGCAATAATCATTCTGAATGCTGGTTTCTTTTGTTTTTCACTCAAAGAGTGCATGCGTCTCCCTTCTACTAAACTGGTTTCTTCCCCTTGGCAGAATTTGCGGAAAATGACTCCAGCAGAGCTTGCAAATATGGAACATTTATATGAATTTCATCCTCCAGTTTGGATAACTGACACCACACTTCGAAAGTCTCCTTTTGTTCCACAAATGGGTGATGAGGTAGAGTAATAAAATTTAAAAACATGAATATGGAACATAAAACAAATTTAATGTTACACTTAAGTTTTTATTTTTGTTATTTTTCAATGTTTTGTAGGTAATATATTTTCGACAGGGTCATGAAGCTTATATAGAGGCTGTCAGGAGAAATAACATTTATGAACTGAACCCTAACAAGGAGCCATGGAGAAAAATTGATCTTAGGGTAAGATGATAGTATTATTAAACATTTAGCACATATATAATTAAATTACTTAAATTCATTTAAAAAACCCGGAGACTTATTTCATTACAATTTTTCCATTAATTTCCTACTGAAAAGCATTTCTGCTATTGCCTCTAAACCTTAAGGAAGACATGTTTATCAGTGAGCAGTCTTCATATATTACTGACTGACATGTAAAATTCTAAGTGTGTTAGAGTTTCTTAGGAAGGCAGTTTTGCAGTATGTATCAGTAATCTTAAAATGTGCATAACCAGGACAGATTTTAAAAAGCAGTGCAGCCCAGCTGGTGTGGCTCAGTAGTTGAGCGTCAACCTATGCACCAAGAGGTCACCGGTTCGATTCCTGGCCAGGACACATGCCCAGGTTATGGGCCTGATTCCCAGTTGGGGGCATGCAGGAGGCGGCCAATCATCTCTCTCATTGATGTTTCTCTCTCTCCTTCTCCCTTCCTCTCTCTCTAAAACCAATAAAGAAAAATAAAAAAATAAAAATCAGTGCAGGTTTTCAAAAGAAATACAAACTGGAAAAAAGGTTCAATCTCATGTATAATGTAGAAAAACTTGAAGCTCCCCTGTACCGAAACAGTTGGCAATCTGATAATAGAGAACGGTCCCTAAGTGCCTAATGAGTGGGTATGTTGTACAGTTTATACAGTGTGGGTATGCTGGACAAAGGGAAGATTCACGTCCCAAGTAGGGCAGCATGAAATCTCATCATGCTACTCAGAATAGTGCTCAATTTAAAACTTAAGAATTGTTTATTCTGGGATATTCCATTTAGTATTTTTGGACCACAGTTGACCACAGGTAACTGAAACAGCAAAAAGTGAAACCGTGAATGGGGGTTGGGGGTCGGGGGATTATGGAATTTTTTAAAGTGATTATATTTCATACATTAGAAACAGTATTAAATGTCTATTTTAAAAAAAGATGCAAAGATTAATTTGAGCAAATATGATTGTAATTAATAGTCACTTAAATTTGTCTGCTGGTTTGGAAGCCTAAATTGTGTATTGACTAAATTTTGAAATATGTGGAGAATTAGAGTCTTGAGGAATTGATTTATTTTAACCATTTTAAACATTTATTCTTTTAAAAAATATCTGTTAAAGGATCAAGAATTGGTTAAAATAGTTGGAATACGATATGAGGTTGGGCCTCCTACACTCTGTTGCCTGAAACTAGCATTTATAGATCCTGCAACTGGAAAACTTATGGACAAATATTTCTCTATTAGGTATGTGTATTTTTTATGGAATTACTTAAATTTAAATTTTTCTGTCACTGGTTAGCATGTTCTTTCTATTTAGCTACAGGGTAAGTTAAATTGGAGCACTGTGGACAGCTTAAGATGTGGGTTTAAGTTACTGCCAGGTGGGAACCCACAAAAAGTAAAAAAAGGGATGCTGCAGCAGGCACAATTAGGAATTGGCATGTTTTATACATTTTATCATGTCACTTAAATGTGTGGAGATTTCTGGCCTGTAGGTGAAATCGCTTCTGCTTTGTTTTGGAGAAAGTATTAGAGTAAATAATTTTCCAAACCTGTGCTGTCCAGAATGGTAGCCATTAGCTACATGTGCGCATTGAGCACTGGAAATGTGGCTGATTAAAATTTAGGGTGATGTAAATATATGCACACTGAATTTTGAAAAGTTGGTGTGAAGAAAAATAATGTAAAAATATTATTTTGTATTGACTACATGATGAAACAATATTAAGATATATTGGGTTAAATATAATACACTATTAAAATTAAGTTCACTGATTTTACTTATTTTTTAATAAGGCTAGTCAAAGATTAAAAATTACATATGCAGTTCCACTTGTATTTCTTTTGGACATTGTTGCTCTAGACTATAAACCTGTTACACAAGGAGTTTAATCTTTTATTTTTGTTTAGATATCACGATATGCCAGATGTTATTGACTTTCTTGTGTTGCGTCAATTTTATGATGAAGCAAGACAGAGAAATTGGCAGTCTTGTAAGTCTATCCTTTCTGAGTTTTATATATCCTTAGAAATTAATCTCTCCTTTGATTGGTGGATGCAGGCAGATATATGCATTCTGGAAAGAAATTTAAGTGACTATAAGTTTATTTTGCTTAGGGCTTGATACTACTTCTCAGTTGACTTTTTAGCCAAGTAATATTTTTTCTTAGGGTATGTGATGTTTTGAAAGGATATTTCTTACTCATTGACTAGTCTAGAGTTGACCTTTTATTTCCTTTCAGACTGCCCCATACTGCATTATTTCTGATTATATTTAACGTGACTCTGGTTAATTCACAAAATTATCCTATGCTGTAAAATAATTAGAAAGTTCAAAAACAGCCTGGCTGGTGTTGCTCAGTGATTGAGCACTGACCCCTGCACCAGGAGGTTGTCAGTTCAATTCCCGGTCAGGGCACATGCCCAGGTTGTGAGCACGATCCCCAGTGGGGGGCGTGCAGGAGGTGGCCAGTCGATGTTCTCTCTCAGCCTTGTTTCTATCTCTCCCTCTCCTTTTCTCTCTCTCTAAAATCAATAAAGAAAAGAAAAAAAAAGATCCCTGGCCGGTTTGGCTCAGAGATTGGAGCGTCGGCCTGTTGACCAGAGAGTCCCGGGTTTGTTTCCTGCTAGGGCCATGTACCAAAAAAAGAAAAAGAAAAAGGGAAAAAAAAAAAGAAAGTTGAAAAATAATGCAGATTTCACACAGATAATGTCTGGCATACCAGAATATTTTACCTTTGATATCAACTCAGACTTAAAAAGGCTGACTTGAGGAAACCTTCAAAAAATAAAAAGCTTATTTTACACTTATGCTTTATAATCATGAGGTATATGGGTGGACAGAAAAAATAAAATCACCTCAGTGTGGGCACTAACTTGAATGCGGTTTTCATGGTGGCCATTTAAGGCTGGCTGGTGGGCTCACTTGCTTAGGTCACTTATTTGTGTAGGTCATTAATCTCTTCAGGACGTGGATGACTGTAATCAGGCTTGATAATATCAGTTAGCAACTGTAGTGCCTGTTTTACAGTTGTACATATAGTATTACTTTTCTTTTTTCTTTATTGATTTTAGAGAGAGAGGAAGGGAGAGGGAGAGAGAGATAGAAACATGGATGAGAGAGAACATCGACTGGCCACCTCCTGCATGCCCCCCACTGGGCATCGGGCCCAAAACCTGGGCATGTTCCCTGATGGGAATCCAACCAGCGACCTCTTACTGCATGGGTCGATGCTCAACCACTGAATCACACCGGCCGGGCTATAGTATTACTTTTCAGTATGTACTGTTATCTTGGGAAGCTCATAATGACATTAGTCATTTAGGATAACTTCTTAATCTACTATTATCAGTTTTGGTATCTTACTAGAAATTTTAAGTTTTACCTTAAAATTTAAGATACCAGGCTATATCTTTTGGTGTACACATTCATAAATGTTAAAACTTCATTAATTTTCCTAGTTTCTGCTGCCTTTTTCTACAGATACTGTAAGCAGATACTTTTCAGATAAATTTTGAGTCATCCCTGTTGAAACAAAAGATTGTTAAGAGCATTGTTGTTCTTGGTAAACTATTTTTACCAGTAATGTCAGAAGTACTCACGATTATTTGGGGGTTAGAGGTAAAGGAAATTTTATTGGAAGAAAAACATTTAGCCAAACATGCACAGAAAGAGGCAACTATAATATGTGGGTGTTAAGTCATATAGCCAATTCCCAAAGAACTTAAAATTTCTTATCTGTTAATGTTTTTTCAACCCCCTTGACATGTAAGTCAGAAGCTCTTATTTTGTTTTGCCAACATGTCTATTAAAAAATGTTTTAAATTTAATTTTTTCTAGCTAAACTATAGAGATGGATTTCTAATTGCCTCTTATAATCTAGTGTTATTTTTTTATTTTTTTATTTTATTTATTTTTTTTATCCTCACCTGAGGACATTTTTCCATCTTTTGTTCAGGTAGAGTGGGAGGGAGAGAGAGGAACAGAGAGAGAGAGAGAGAAACATCGACGTGAAAGGAACACATCGAGTGGCTGCCATCCGCACGACCGACCAGGGCTGGGGACAAACTGCAACCAAGGTACGCGCCCTTAGCGGGAACCGAACCCAGGTCTCTCAGGACCGCAGGCCGACGCTCTAACCGCTGAGCCAAACCGGCCAGGGCTCTAGTGTTATTTTTAATCTTAATTTTGTGGTTGAGAAAGTGTACCAGATCTTCTATATTAATTAATTCATTTTTGCGTTCCCATAAAATCTTAACCTATTTTCCTGAAGCTCGAGTGTGCTATTAGAGAAATTTGCTTGTTTCTATATATACTATGTTGAGAACTTTACTTAGCAGAAGTTTACTCTATTCATGAATAGCCAAAATAGGTTTTGAAAATTTGAAAATTCTTAATTCCAAGGTGGTGGCAGAGTAGGTGTAAGTTACAGTCACCTCCTCCCAGGAACAAATTGGAATTACAACTAAATTACAGAACAATCAACCTGAATAACCAAGAAAAGACTGTAATAGAAAAGCCAGTTTTTACCATGAGAAAACAAATTTTTATGGCTCCTTTTAATATAAAGTGTTAGTCTTGCCTGGCTGGAATGGCTCAGTTGGTTGAGTGTTGTATGTACCGAAGGTTTGCTGGTTTGATTCCTGGTCAAGGCACATACCTGGGTTGCAGGTTCGATCCCCAGTTGGGGCACGTATGGAAAGCAACTGATTGGTGTTTTTTGTTTTTTTTTTCCCCTTCTTCTCTCTAATCATGTCCTCAGGTGAAGATTAAAGAGAAAAAAAAAGTGTTAGTCTTACACTGAAGAAATATTTTTGTCCAAATTGAATGAATCTTTTAGTGTTAGAGATAAATAGGGAAGAAGAATATTATAAAGTTAATTTTTGGTATAAAAAACTGGCTTTCTTGTAACCATGTTTATAGGCATCTCAAAATGAAGCCACTGAATTTGTTACTACATTAATATTGTAATTGCTATTTATATTAAATTAGGTTATTGACACATGATTGGATAAAAACCAGTGTTATGTCAGGTTTGAGGTATATGCCTTTCATTAAAAAAGTTAGAAAAAAATTTATTACAATGTATTTCTGAAGTTGAAGTTTTAGAATATCTATATATTATGAAATACTTTCAAAAGTCTAATTTAATTAATGGTAGAGAGATGGGTGGAGGGATGAGGGGCTTACAGATTTTTAGTGATTTTGATGTAAAATACATAAAAGCCATGTGAATTTTAAAATTATTAAGAACCTTAAAACGTGTAACTGATAATTGTGATGTTGCTGTTTCTTACAGAATTCACTGTAAGCATACCCTCTTTAGTCAAGGCTTTGTGGGTATTTTATTATGTAAATATTTTCTTTCTTAGTGAAATGTAACTTTAATTTTTTTTTGATTGTATTACTTGATTTTATTTTACACTAGGTGGTAGGCACATGTAACTTTAATTTTGATTGGTATTGTTTCCACAAAAGTTTCCTTGAAGAATTATTAATTCTGGATGATTGACTATTTTTTTTTTTTTTTAAATGGTGGGGTGGATGTAAAGGAAGAGATATTGTTCTTACAGTAGTCTGTTTCTTTTGCAATATGTGTAAAACAGGCCAAATACAGTTTATTTTCCTACAGGTGTTTTTTTTTTTTTGGTAGGATTTTTTGTAAAGAGATTAATTCTGATAATCTCTTAATTTTTTTTCTTTATTAATTTTAGAGAGAGAGGAAGAGAGGGAGAGAGAAATTAAAAACATCAATGAGAGTGAACATCGATTGGCTGCCTCCTGCATGTCCCCCACTGGGGATCGGGCCCACAACCTGGGCATGTGCTCTGACCGGGAATCGAATCGGCAACCTCTTGGTGCAGGGGTCGACGCTTAACTACTGAGCCACGCTGGCTGGACTAGAAGTGTTTTAATTATAGAATACATTTGCAAAGGTGTGTAGTCTAAAATCCCTGAAGTTGGTTGAAGTCAGTTGGTTAGTCTTACTAAGATCTGCTTGCCTGTTTTTATGTTATGGTAAGATAATGGGATATATGGATGTTTAACCTCACCTGAGGACATTTTTGCACTTATCTTCAGATAGAGCTGGAGGGAGAGAGGGAGGAAGAGAGAGAGAGAGAGAAACATCAATGTGAGAGAGACACATCAAGTGGTTGCCACCCATACAACCCCAATCAGGGCTGGGGACAAATTGCAAATGAGGTACGTGCCCTTAGCGGGAACCGAACCTGTGACTCTCTGGTCCGCAGACTGACGCTCTTAACTGCTGAGCCAAACCGGCCAGGGCAAACTTTTTAAAAAATAATAAATGTGTAAGCGTTGTTGAGAGTAGATTTATACCTGATTTATATTATGAGATCTTAAGAATTAGAACATTGTGCCCAGCTGGTGTCGCTCAGTGGATTGAGGGTTGTCCCGTGGACTGAGAGGTCCCAGATCAATTCAGGTCGAGGCACTTGCCCGGGTTGCGGGCTTGATCCCCAGCAGGGGTCATGCACGAAGCAGCCAATTGATGTGTCTCTCTCACATCCATATTTCTATCTCTCTCTCCCTTCCCCTCTCTAAAAAAATCAATAAAAACATATTTATAAAGAATTATAACACTGTTTCATGTGAAGATACTTATATAGGAACAACTTTAGAAAATCATGGATTAAATTCTAATCATAGTTACCTTTTATAATTTGTTTTATTCTTCAGGAAATGTTATGTTTTATAAGTATGTATTTAATATACTTATTACAAGAGTATTTATCGATAGTAGTGTTGTGAAAGATTTGTGAGTTTTGTTAAACTTTGTTCTTTGTTTTGTGTTGTAAAATATAATAGAACTTATTTTGGAGTGGGTGTTTTGATTCACTAAACAACGGAACCTAAGTCATAAACCATTTTAGCCTATAATACTGTATGGCATGTACCTTCAATAAATTGCCTAGTGTAATCTTTCACATCTGCGTTATTATTACTGAAGGCTGCTGAGAAGTGGGGATGGATTGCTAATCTGACAAAAAAAATGCTTTGATTATCTTAACTGAAATTTATATCATGTTACTTTATAAATTTAAAATAGTGTTGCAAACTGATGTCTCAGACTGGGTCATATCTCTTCCAGGTGACAGGTTCCGTTCTATCATTGATGATGCCTGGTGGTTTGGAACGGTGCTAAGTCAAGAGCCCTATCAGCCACAATACCCTGATAGTCATTTCCAGTGTTACATTGTTAGGTCTGTACGCAGATGAAAACGAATCATCTACAAACATTTGTACATTATGGTAGATTGTTGTATGAACAACTGATACATTTCAGGTTAAAAACACCACTGTTTTGATCTGTCATTAAGTCACAGTAGTGTCACCTCTACAGTGTTTCTTTTTTTTTATCATCCTCACTGAGGACATTTTTCCATTTTTTTATTCAGGTAGAGTGGGAGGGAGAGAGAGGAACAGAGAGAGAGAGAAACATCGATGTGAAAAGGACACATCGAGTGGTTGCCACCCGCACAACCAAACCAGGGCCGGGGACAAACTGCAACCGAGGTACATGCCCTTAGCGGGAACCGAACCTGGATCTCTCTGGACCGCAGGTCGACGCTCTAACCGCTGAGCCAAACCGGCCAGGGCTCTACAGTGTTTCTTAAGCATGCTCTTATCATTTCCTCTTCACTAGTACTTCTTGGGGTGCAGTCTCTGCTTACTTCCCTGGGACCTTTTCTGTAGCTTCCTAATATTTCCTCCACCTGACATTACAGGATCATAATTCAGGAACACATATTACTTTATTTCCTTTGTTAAAAAAAAAACAACAACTTTGCTGCCTTTTCATTGGCTGTGGAATAAAGTCTATATTCTGAAGCGTCGCATTCAAGTCCTTCACACTGTGTTTGAGTTTTTCTTCACTTAACCTGGTACAGGCCACACAAGATTTCTAGTTTTGTTCTTGAACCTGCCATAACATTTTTACACTTAATTTTTTATGTATCCTTAACATTTTTTACTGTTAACATTTAAACTTTTACTGCTACAGTGTGGTTAATTTTCATTTTATGTATTCCTGTTTACTGTTGTAAATTATTAGCCACAAGTTTCTTTATGAAGGGTTACCCAAACTTTTCTTTTGGTTTTAACAGGTGGGACAATACTGAAATTGAAAAGCTTAGCCCATGGGATATGGAACCAATTCCTGATAATGGTATGTAATTTTTAAACAATGAAAGTATTTTACCTTTATGTTTTTCATTTTTTATCTTAGTAATGCACATAGAGTGAATTGTATTCTTTGAGACATGTTTTCAAATTATGGTAATGGGAGCTTTCCTAAAAGAAGTCAACAAAATTATGTGTATCTGGTTCATTATTTCTTTTTATTTTTTATTTTTATTTATCCTCACCCGAGGACATTTTCCCATTTTTTGTTCAGATAGAGTGGAAAGGAGAGAGAGAGAGAGAAACATCAATGTGAAAGGGACACATTGAGTGGTTGCCATCCACACGACCCAACCAGGGCCGGGGACAAACTGCAACTGAGGTACGTGCCCTTAGCGGGAACCGAACCCAGGTCTCTCTGGACCTCAGGCCGACACTCCAACCGCTGAGCCAAACCGGCCAGGGCTGGTTCATTATTTCTTATTCCCCCTTGATGCTGGTCACGTCTTAGTAGTCCATGGCCAGTTCTCATGTAATCCTGCTTACAACTCTATTGACCTCCTTCATGCCTCTGTTTCCTTTTCCTCATCCTTACTCTGTTACCTTGTTCTTCCTTCAGAGAAAAGCTCTAACTTGGCTTCTGTCTTCTACTTTACCTCACTTGTCTGTCTTACTGTGGATTCTCTCTTCCTCCAGTGAGAGAAAGGTGTTGTATGGGAGAGCCAGCCTCTGCCCTCGGCGCTTGCTGCCCAGTGCTTTCTCCTTCTCTTGGACCTGGATCTTACACGTAGTTCCTTCCCTCGAACAGTTCTAGTTTTCTCTTTCCTCTCCTTTTGAGTTTGAATTTGTCTCTTATACCTTGAAACATCTTTCATTTGGCTTTCTTGAACATTTAAAAGATTTTTCTTTATTGATTTTAGAGAGAGAGGAAGAGAGAGATAGGAACATGAATGAGAGAGAACATCGATTGGCTGCCTCCTGCATGCCCCCCACTGGGGAATTGGCCCACAGCCTGGGCAAGTGCCCTGACCAGGAATCAAACCGGGACCTCTTGGTGCATGCATGGGTCAAGGCTCAACATCAGCCAGGCGGCTTTCTTGAACATTTTATTTATTGAGTTAATTTACTTCTTGCAGACTTTTTGAAGGGTGCTCTATGTCTCTTGCCTCCATTTCTTTACTCTTAAGATTTATATTAGTGTTTATTTAATCTAAAAAACATACAAAAACTTTTGTCCTTTTATCCCCACTATTTTTTTGACACGTGAAATCTTTGCTCCACGAGTTTTTCTTGTTGTCTGCCTTAGGGGCCAAGCCCTTTTCTTTGTGTTTATTCTCTGATATATCTCCATAAACCATTGTCTTGGTTTACTTTGGAAATGAGGATTTTTATGGAAATGAGAAATTTTTTTCAAAAAATGTTTTTCTAGTAACTGCACTTTCAAAAGTCACCATTGACCTCCATTTGTTAGATTTTCATTTGAGCTCAGTAATTTACAAACAATGGGAAAAGACATTTTTGAACATAGAAAGCATATAATAGGTAAGAAAAAAAATAGCACTTTTTAAGATTTTACTGTTTCAAAGGACTGTAGATTAGTTCATTTAATGCTGTTCTGAGGTTGATGCTCTGTTATTAATTTTATACATGATGGAACTAAGGGTCATTGAATTTGCATCAGTTTGTTTAAGTCACACACACACACATCTAGAAAGGGTAGGGATTGGGCTTCTAACCCAAGTCATCACGCTCCAACCAGTGCTTTTGACTACTGTTTATAGCTGTTCTTTTGTAAAGGATGTTACAAATCATAGAAAGCTCTTACATAAAGAGATTTTACATGTTACTGAGATCAGGAAACCTTTAGAAGAATTGTCAAAAGATAATGAGCAGGCAGAAAAATGAACGTATGAAGAGAGGCTCACTTTCATTAACAGTCTTGGAAATGGATATTATCTATCATTGTTAGGTTTATCTTCTAGTCCTGTTGACAGTTTTCTTTTTTTATTTATGATTTTCAAGAAAAATGTTTTCTGAATATTCATGATGCCCCTTGGTAATTTTTATTTTGTTAACCTCACCTGAGGATATTTTTCCATTGATATTTAGGGAGGGAGGGAGGCAGAGGGAGGGGAAGAGAGAGGGAGAGAAAGGAACGGAAACATTGATGTGAGAGAGACACATCAACTGGTTGCCTCCTGCCCAACCCCAATTGGGTCCAGGGGTTGAACCTGCAACCCAGGTATGTGCCCCTGACTGGAATCGAACCCAAGACCCTTTAGTCTGTAGGTGGATGCTCTAACCACTGAGCAAAACTGATCAAGGCTATTTATTTTTTAAAGAATAGTTTATGGGTTTTTAGAGAGAGGGGAAGGGAAAGGGAGAGAGAGAAACATTGATGTGAGAATGCAACATTGATCTGCCTCCTGCATGCCCCCTGCTGGGGATCAAGCCCATAACACAGGTATGTGCCCTGACCAGGAATTGAACCAGCATCCTCCTGGTGCATGGGAAGATGCCCAACCAACTGAGCTACACTGGCCAGGGTATCTCTTGTTCCTTTTAAAAATGTGTACCCTTTCATTATTAGTTTTTTTTTGCACTTGTAAAATATTTTATTTTGAAATAATTTGAGACTTGTAGGTTGTTAGAAAATAGTGCATAGAATTTATGGATCTCCAGTTTTCTCAAATGTTAATATCTTAGATAACTATAGTGAGACTATCAACCAGGAAATTATCACTGATACATTTCTAATCTATAGACCTTTGAATTTGAAGTATTGTTCTAATGTCCGTTCACATACTGGATTTCATTGCCATCCCTTTTTAGTCTCTTTTAATCTGGGATCCCTGAGTCTTTCCATTATCTTTCATGACCATGACCCTTGAAGAGTACTGGCCTGTTATTTTGTAGAATTTCCCTCAGTTTGCGTTTGTGTGGTGTTTTGCATTTGGGGCAAGAGGGTCAGAAAAGTGATATTGTATTTCCTCATCATAAGGAGGCACATAGTACCAATTATCCTGTTACTGGGGATGTAAACTTTAATCATTTGATTTAGGTGGTGTCTGCCAGGTATCTCTGCTATTAAGCAACTACTTTGTTCTTTGTAATTAGTGTCTTGTTTATGACCTTTGACAACTTAAACAGTGTATATTTGTTTTTTTGTTTGTTTCATTCTTTTTTAATGGAATTCATAGTTGATCCACCTGAGGAATTAGGAGCTAGTATTTCTGTTACTTCAGATGAGCTAGAGAAATTGCTCTACAAACCACAAGATGGTGAATGGGGTCAGAAATCAAGAGATGAAGAATGTGAACGACTTATTAGTGGTATAGATCAACTTTTGAATCTTGGTAAGTTATTTTAGTGTGAAATGTTTAATGCTCAAGCTTATTTTCTACACAGATACTTAAAAATGTATCATAATTGTGGTTGAGTTTATTACTTTAGTTTCTAGTTGTTGTCTTTTGGTTAAGCCTGCGGTATTAAATGTAGCTGGTAGCGTATTTTATGAATGATTTGTGGACAAATACATTTACATGTTATGAATTTATTAATAAAAACTCTTCTGTCTGCCCTGACAGATATAGCAGCAGCTTTTGCAGGTCCAGTTGATCTGTGTACATACCCGAAGTACTGTACTGTAGTGGCTTACCCAACTGATCTTTACACAATTCGAATGAGACTTGTTAATCGATTTTACAGGTTAGTAGAAACCTACTTTAAAAATAGTTTGAAAAAATACTTGGGCATACTAACGAGAGTAAATAGAGGTAATGGTAATTGATGATGACAGTGATGGAATGGGGACTAACATTATTTTGTTTCATTTTCTTTTTTCATTATCGTAATTTTTTGGTTCTGTAAAACATTGTGTTAGGTGCCTCTGGGTAGGTGTGGTTAGAACCTGGATAAGAAAATGATCAGCCCTGGCCGGTTTGGCTCAGCTGTTGGAACTTCGGCCTGTGGACCAGAGAGTCCCAGGTTTGGTTCTTGCCAGGGGCACGTACCAATAAATAAATAATAAATCCCTACTGCCCGAGTGCCCGAGAGTAGGGGCACCACCCTCTGAGCAGGGACTCCCCTTTCAAAAAAAAGAAAAAAAGAAAATGATCAGATTCATTCTTTAAGCTTACTTAAGTAGTCTGTTTTTCTTACAAATTATGTTAAGTAGTTAGAATATATATTCTAGAGAGAGGGGGGTGGGCATTAATTTGTTGTTTCACTTATTTGTGCCTTCATTGGTTGGTTCTTGTATGTGCCCTGACTGGGAAGGAAACCCTGAAACCTTGGTATATAGACGACACTCTAACCAATAAGCTACCTGGCCAGGGAGAAATAATATGTTTTCATTTGTATGTTTAACATTCCTTTTCAGCTGTTCCATGTAAAAGTAAAATTTAGTTAAGTGGACTTTGGTCTCTGAAAGATTAGTTACCTAGAGTCATGTACTTTCAATCTTTCAGAGCACTGATGACTATAAAATTTCCTATTTTTTATTTTTTTTCCCCTTTATTGAGTTTAGAGGGAGAGGAAGGGAGAGGGCGAGAGAGATGGAAACATCGATGAGAGAGAACATCAATTGGCCGCCTCCTACATGCCCCCCCACTGGGGATCAGGCCCACAACCTAGGCATATGCCCTGACCAGGAATTGAACCGGTGACCTCTTGATGCATGGGTTGACGCTCAACCACTGAGCCACACCAGCTGGACTAAAATTTACTATTCTTACTGATATTTTTAAAGCAATTGATGGTATATTATTTTTTATAATTCAAGTACTTTGAAAAATTATTATAAAAAACTGACTTCTTGAGTTCAGTAGTCAAACATGAAAATATGCATTTGGTCAGAAATTTCTTTGCTCCTTTATAGTGAGATTGATTCTTAGGGTTGATGGTGTTGAACACATTTTCTTTATTGAGTCTCAACAACTTCAAATGTACCCACAGGCAGTGTGAAAAGGGAAGGTTGCTCTGTTGATTTTCTGGATGCGATTAAGTGATCTGTTAAGCTTTTTGGTCCTTAAATAAATTCTCTGTAGTTCAGCTACCAGTATAATTGCTTATGAATATGATCCAGTTGACAGTACGAGAAGATTATTCATTGTTACTCTGCACTTATGGTTTAATTACTATCTCATGCTGGCTTCACATGCTGAATTTTTTACTTGGTTTCTGTCTCTCTATTTTCTAAAACATAAATTGCCTTATTTTGAAGGAGGCTATCTGCATTGGTTTGGGAAGTCAGATATATAGAACATAATGCCAGAACATTTAATGAACCTGAGAGTGTAATTGCAAGATCAGCTAAGAAGATAACTGACCAACTTTTAAAATTTATCAAGTAAGTGACTTCATATTATTAAAAAGTTGTGGAAAAGTGACTGCATATTGTGTTCTTGCATCTATCCAGTGCTTAATTTTGCTCTCTGAATTTTACACCCTTTTAATATGTTACTTTAAATGACATTTCACATACTTACTGTGATTGTAATTTCTATAAAGGAGTGAGAAATTAATCCAAATTTTTCTACTTAAAATTTTGAAATAACTTTATACTACAGACAGTTGTCAGGTAGATAGATAGATAGATAGATAGATAGATAGATAGATAGATAGATATTCTTCACCTATCTGTTTCCCTTTGGTTAACAATTTTTTACATATCTATGGTATCCCCATGAAATACTAAGGAATTATCCTTGGTACAGTAGTATTGAGTAAGCTGTAGTACTTAATTAGGTTTTTAGTTTTTATATCAATACCTTTTTCTGTTTCAGGATCCTATCCAGAATCCCCATCATATTCAATGTTTTATTTAATTTTCTTTAACCTGTTCCCAGGTCTTTCCTTTCTTTCATGACCTCATCATTTTTTATAAGTTTTAGATGATTTGTGTGAGTACTTAATTTTGTTTGTCTGATATTTTCTCATAATTAGATTGCATTTTAGTCTTTGGATTGTGTCCTATGAGAGTGTTTGTACATGCACGACTATTTCACATACTTTTCTGCATTGGGAAAAGAGACCTGGAAAATCAAGATCCAAGGTCTAGCCTAATGTCTTCTAGGGAATGTTTAATGTGACTGGACAAATTACTCAGCCTGTATCCTTTAAAATTAGTGAGTTTTGCTATATGATCTTACATGCTTTTTCCCCAGAGCTATAAAAATTCTGTAGAAGAAGAATATATTTGAGGAGATACTTTGTAAACTCCGCCATCGTTTTTAGTATGTAGCAACACATTGCAGTCGATCTCACTTTCCTTAGTTAAATCTGTCCTATGTCTGGACCACTTGAACCTACTACTGTTCTCCCAGAACTTCCTTCTTTTTCTTCAGGAAGATCACATGCCATTTTTATCTCCTTTATGCCTGGACATCCCTACTTTAGGATTCTTTCTGTGTTTACAGTGAGGTTAAGATGTAATTTGCTTTAAGTGCTGCTTCATTTTTTTTTCTTTCTATTCTCTTCTATCTCAAATGAACCCTTTTCTTGGTACTTACTGTATGATTATTACTAGTGATGATACTTAGAAAAACTTGTTCTTATATTCATTAACTGAGGCCATATATATGTTTTTTTCTGGATTACTAGCTAAATTTCCATACGTACTTAACTGGAAAAAAGAAAAAAACAACCCTTACTTTTCATATTCTAAGATAGATAGTTGTTTCCGCAGAGGGCAGAGTAAAAACCTGATACTTCTCTGCTTGAAATTAGGTATGCATAGTTGGGTAACTGTTTATATCTGACCTGTAGTTTGAATCTTTGGCAACAATAATGGTATCTGCATACTGTTAAAAAAATGAAAAATTGTTTTTTAGGAATCAAGACTGTACAGATATCTCAGAACTTTCTAACACTTCTGAAAATGATGAGCAAAACGCCAAGGCTTTGGTATGAAATTTGTCAATTTTACAATGATTTTTAATTTCAAATGGTAACTTGAAAATAATGAGTGAAGTAGAAAATGTTGACACCTATATCAATTCTTGCTATATTCCAATAAACTATGAAAATAAGGCACTTGATAAAAATATATTTTTTAATTATCTAGATGGTTAGTGACATAATTTGTTTTTGCCCATGATTGATTGATTATCTGTATATCAAACAAAATATGTCTAAGTGAATAACTTTGATGTGGAATATATTCTCTTTCCAAATTTTAGCTAGAGAAAGAGGTGCATTAAGGAAGTGCCTTGAAAATATATATTTTTAAAACCAATGTGTGAGAATTGGATTTAATTGTAATGGAAAATTAATGAACTTGACCATGCTCAAAGTACCCTCCAGTCCTTCAGTCAAGCTGGTCTTGAGGTGTCAGTGAAGCACATATTAGTGATGTTGCACTACTTAAGAATTAGGCTGTCAGTTTTGATTGCAGGGAAGATACTCTTTAAACACAGTATAGTATAACTTCTGCACAAACTTTTATTGTAGTTCACGGATTCTCGTACTAATTATATTGGAATAAAAATGGGTATTGATTTTAGGGAATAAGACAATGTGGAGAGTACAGAATACAGGAATTGTAGGAGACTTTCTGGGGTTTATGAATAGAGTTAAAACACAAACTTAAAGCTGCTTTTTATAGCTATATTTTGGAATTAGTGCATGTTTTTAGGGAATGTAAAGGGTTATTAAGAATGGTTGGAGTTTGCCACAAAGATCATCTGATATAGTCTCTCTTTTGAGATTTTGTTAACAAGTTAGAACACTGTTTTTCATATACTTTTTAAATTAAGATTATTACGTTTCTAATGAGAATATTAACTCCTAAGGTGCTCTGATTTTTATTTCTAGGATGATAATGATCTTCCTAAAACATCTTCTGGAAGAAGGAGAGTAAGTTAATCTGCCTGATTTGACCTTTGTTGTTTATTCTTTATTTAAAGTCAACCTAAGATCTTAGGTGTTGCTTTTGAAAAGTTATATTGATATAGATATGGAAAATTTTGTAAGAGAAAGAGGAATAATCACTGAAAGCTGTATAGTTAGGTAAGGTTTGGTGGAAAAGTTGGTGTTTGATACAGTTAGAAGAGTAAAAAAGAGTAGGGGATATTATGATCTAAGCCGAAAAAGCAATGAAGTGTGGCATGTTAGTGGGTTAGTAAGGGCACTGGTTTGCTGTAGAGGTTGAATGGTGGAATGAGCAAAGTGGCTGTGCATGGCTGTAATTTTGGAAGCAGATGGTGGTGATATTGAAAACCAAGGTTTTCATCGAAAGTAGATAATAAACTGCACAGTTAAAATAGATAAATACGTTTTGAGGGATAAGAAGATAGTAAAGGAGGTGAGTTAGTATCTAGTCAAGGATAGTGTTTGCTTGGAATGGAAAGGAAAGGAAGGGAAAAAGATGAGACCTTTGAAGGGAAAAGTTAACTAGCATTTGGTAACAACCTTTTTTTAAAAAAATGAGGATTAGTTGGGGGATGTATGGAAAAAAGTTTTGTATACTGGGTAGTTAAAATTGTGGTGTCACCAGCAGAACTCTTGAAGTTCTAATGAATATGTCAATTAAAGTCAAGGTTATTACTCTGAAAATGCTCAAAAATGTAAATTTCATTCAAAAGCTGCTTAAACTTAAGCTTTTTATAACAGTTTTCATAATATGCTTGCCCCAGATAACATTGGAAAATTTAGACTTGAATTACTGTCAATCTGATTGTCATTTTTATATAATTCTTCTAAGTGTTTAGTATCTGTTTAGAATTTGTTTGCTATAGCAACTGTAGCAAATTACAAATCAAAGGGCTTAGACAACAAAAACATTATGTTCCAGTTCTGTGAATGGGACGTTTGATATGGGTCTCACTGGGCCAGAGTCACGCTGTCAGCATAGCTGCTTTCCTTTCTGGAAACTCTGCAGTAGAATTCGTTTCCTCACATTTCCCAGCTTTTAGAGGCTCATGGCCCCTTCCACCTTCAGGTTAGCAGCGTTACTAACTTCTTCCAGTCTCTGTCTCTGTCCCTCTGCCTCTCTCTTGTAGGGACCCTTGTGATTACAATGGGGCACAGCCAGATAAATAATCCAGGACAGTCTCCCCATCTCAAGATCAAACCTTCAGTCACAGCTACAGATTCCCTTTTACCTTGTGAAGTGACATAGTCACAGGGTCTTGGGATCAGGATGTAGAGATCTTTGAGTCATTGTTCTGCCTACCCCATCATCCAATGTGACATTTCAGATTCTGCAAAAACATTTTCTAAACATGGGAAATAAGTGCTGGAATGAATAATGTTTCTAGAGTAACACATTTCTAGATGTGACATTATTGAATTTTTTCAGAAAAGTGAAGTTTTCCCCCAAGTAGATAGAAAATCAAATATGACATTATAGTGTCAATTTTCCAACACTGAAAATACTTTTAATATTGTGAATATATTTTTAGGTCTATGATTGGAAAAAAAGGAGCAGCAAAGCAACCAGCTCTGTTGAAAGCAACTGGAAGAAACAGTGTAAGGAACTAGTGAACTTAATTTTTCAATGTGAAGATTCTGAACCATTTAGACAACCTGTTGATTTGGTTGAATATCCAGTAAGTTGCCATTGTTTGAATGTTTGGGGCTTTACTTATTTTGTGTAGAGGAGATCGGGTAGAGGTATTTAAGTTAAACTTTTAAAGAGTAAGACATCTAGCTTCATGTTACCTTTTTTCTCTTACTGCTAAGTCAGTTCCATAATAATAGGAGAATTCTACATGGTATCTATTATCTAAGTAGATCCAGCTCCAGGAAAACTATAAATTGGATAAACAGTGTCTGTCTTCACTCCAGTAATAGGGGGATGGAAAATGACCTTTAAAAAAAAAGTCAGATAATAAAGTACTAAGTTATTGTAGAAAGCTTGGAAATTACAGATGATGTAAACAAGGAAATAAAAACCAGTCCATGTCTGGCTCTCCCTCTCGGGAGCATGCCCTATGCCTTTCCGGTCCCCCTTTCTTCCCCCAGAAGGTGTGCTGCCTTTGCCTGTCCCTCTCCTAAGCTCCAAGGGCCCCTCTTTTGCCTCTGTAACTTGTTTCATGAGCCTAAGCAGCCCAACTGGCTCACTTCTGCTATCTTTATAACTTTCTCTTATAATTTGAAAAAACAAAACAAAAAATCAGTCTATGTCCTGCTACCAAGTATAACATTTTGGTTATTTCTTACCTTGTCTTTATGTCCAGGTCTTTTTAAAAAAATTATTAATAATTCTTAAGTGCCTTCTAATTTTTTCTCCTCTATAATTTTGAATATTTTAGCAATCTGATGCACTTATGTTTCTAAAAGCAGCAATGAAATCTTTGAACTAATTATTGTTTTTAAAACCTAGGATTACCGAGATATTATAGATACTCCAATGGATTTTGGAACAGTAAGGGAAACTTTAGAAGCGGAAAATTATGACAGCCCTTTGGAATTTTGCAAAGACATCCGGTTGATATTTAGCAATGCAAAGGCATATACACCAAACAAAAGATCAAAGGTAATTTAAACAGTGGTTTATAAGAAGAAAAGAGCATGATCTGTATAGATGATAATTTTCTGCTGGCTGGTAGAGGTTGAAACATTAGACAACTGAGTAGAGCAGACTACTATTGAGAATAGAGCTTCTGCCACTGAATAGCTGTTACTGCTACCTCACCACAGCTAATGCTTATCTTTCCTAAAGTTTTATAAACGGTGAAGATTGGTGGCCCAGTGAAAAATAAACAAATTTAAATCTGATATGTAGAATGAGAAAAATCGATTTTCATACATATGGAAATCTTGAAAAGTGGGTTGAAAACTTACTGATAGAGCTGGAAGAATATTATAAGTAAGAAAGGGAAAATCTGAAGGTGGGAGAGGAACTACTGATGTAAACTAATATTTTGGATCCAAAGAAGAAGCACTTGAGCTTTCTGATTATTTAAGATTATAAGTATGATTTACATTCCTAAATCTTGTTTAAAAAAGTTATGGGTTTGATAACTTTTCAAAACTTGTTGAAGCCTAACAGCTATATAAAAGAGCCACATATACTGTCAGGGAATTTTCACAAACAACATGAACCTGTGTGGCCAAGTAGCAATAATTTGAGCAGATTTTAAGGTAAAGCACTTGCTTGATATTACAGCACTTTCTCTGTCTATCATCAGTGACTCTCACTGCTGATTAATCATTTTGCCTTAATTTCACTTTCTCCTCATTACTTATTATCAAATTCCTTCCTACATTATTCTTGTCTCAATATGAGAACTCTTTCATTGCATTCAATATCCAAATTGCTTATTGGATCAGTTTAACATTCAAGTCTAAAATTTTTCAAGCTTGTGTTATTATTAATACTCATTGTTTGTGAGGCTTTTTTTTTTTTTTTTTTTAAGAAAATAAATTTCATTCGTGGACCCCCCTTAAAAAATTTTTTTTTCTTTTTTGATTTTAGAGAGAAAAGAAGGGCAAGAGGGAGAGAGAGAACATTGATTGGCCACCTCCCACATGCCCCCCACCCCCACCCCCCGGGTATCTGGCCCACAAACTGGACATGTGCCCCGACCAGGAATCGAACCAGTGACATCTTGGTGCATGGGTTGATGCTCAACCACTGAGCCACATTGGCCGGGCTCCACTTTTTGTTTTAAATACATGTTTGAGGATTTATACCATACAACTCACCATTTAAAGTGTATAATTTAATGGTTTTTGTATATTACATTTTCAAAATTATGGCTAAATCTATATAACATAAAATGTATAATTTTAAATGTGCAAGTCATTGGCATTAATTACATTCACAATATTATATTGTTTAACTATTAACTGCTATCTATTTCCAAAACTCTTTCATCACCCCAAACAGAAACTTTATAACCATTAAGCATTTGTCTTTTTGTGTCTACCTAATTTCACTTCTTCTTAATGTCTTATAGATTCATTCATGTTGTATCAGAACTTTCTTCTTCTTCTTTTTTTTTTTTTTTTTAATCCTCACTCGAGGACATTTTTTTCCCATTTTTTGCACAGATAGAGTGGGAGGGAGAGAGAGGAAGAGAGAGAGAGAGAGAAACATCGACGTGAAAGGGACACATCGAGTGGCTGCCACCCGCATGACCAACCAGGGCCGGGGACAAACTGCAACCGAGGTACGTGCCCTTAGCGGGAACCGAACCCAGGTCTCTCTGGACCGCAGGCCGATGCTCTAACTGCTGAGCCAAACCGGCCAGGGCAGCACTTTCTTCTTATGGCTGAATAATAGTCCATTTTATGGATTGGGTATATGATATTTTGTGTATTCACTTATCTTGCTGGGCACTTGAGCTATTTCTACTTTTTTGCTATTGTAATTAATGCTGCGGTGAATATGGTAGTACAAGTATCTGTCAGAGTTCTTGCCCTCAGTTTCCTGGGGTATACACCTACTAGTGGAATCACTGATTCATAGGGTAATTACATGTCTAGGGTTTTCAGGAACCACCAAACTATTCCATGATGGCTGCATCATTTTACATTCTCCCTAGCAGTGTGTGAGGATTCTAATTTCTCCACATCGTCACCAATGTTTTGTTATTTTCCTTTCCTTTTTGTTAATCCTCACCCGAGGATATTTTTCATTGATTTTTTTTTTTTTTTAGATAGAGTGAGGGGGGGCGGGGGAGACAGACAGAGACAGAGACATTGATTGGTTGCCTCCCAAATGACCCCAATGGGGCCTCACATGAAACCTGCAACCCAGGCCCTGGCTGGTTTGGCTCAGCAGTTAGAGCATCAGCCTGTGGTCCAGAGAGACCCGGGTTCGGTTCCTACAAAGGGCATGTACCTCGGTTGCAGTTTGTCCCCAGCCCTGGTTGGGTCGTGCGGGTGGCAGCCACTCGATGTGTCCCTTTCACGTCGATGTTTCTCTCCCTCCCTCCCTCCCTCCCTCCCTCCCTCCCTCCCGCTCTATCTGAACAAAAAATGGAAAAATGTCCTCAGGTGAGGATTAAAAAAAAAAAAAGCTGCAACCCAGGTACATGCCCTTGACTGGAATCGAACCTGAAACCCTTTGGTCCGAGGGCCAACACTCTTAACTACTGTGCCAAACTGGCCAGGGCTATTTTCTTTTTTTCTTTTTTTTTATTCTTTATTTTTTTTTTAATCCTCACTGGAGGACATTTTTCCATTGTTTGTTCAGGTAGAGTGGGAGGGAGAGAGGAACAGAGAGAGAGAGAGAGAAACATCGATGCGAAAGGAACACATCGAGTGGCTGCTACCCGCACAACCCACCAGGGCTGGGGACAAACTGCAACCGAGGTACGCGCCCTTAGCGGGAACCGAACCCGGGTCTCTCAGGACTGCAGGCCGACGCTCTAACCGCTGAGCCAAACCGGCCAGGGCGCTATTTTCTTTTTTTAAATTGTAGCCATCCCACTGAGTGTGAAGTATTATCTCATTGTGGTTTTGATTTGCATTTCTCTTTTAGCTTATTAGAAATCATACCTGGTATTTATTTTAATTAGGTATAGGAGGACGTGCAGGTATAGAAATGATTGCCATGAAGGAAAACTTTTATACTAACAGATTCCTAGAAACAAGGAGGCATGACTCACCATGTAGGGCCACATGGGAATGAACCAGCGTTGGTCAGTAGGCTGAGGGCAGGAAGGGAAGATTATAGCACAGAGCCTATAGTATTGAGAATTTTGCAGATAGGCAAGGCAAAGTAAACAGTTTGGGATTTGGTTATCTTGAGCTTTGGCCTACTGGGATGGTCTCCAGGTGTTTGTCCCTGGGGTGATTTAGGGTGAGGGGAATGGAATATTGGCTTGGCATGTGAGTTTGATAAGGAAGATAGTTAGGGATATGAACTCAGGATTGATTGTTTTGTATGTCAGAGGCATACTCATAGGAGAGTCCTTTGCTATCTCTAAGAATTAGGTAGCCGTGGGAGGGGCTGACTCTCCAGGGCCAGGTTTTCAGATGCCAGAGCATCAAGAATACATAGAATAAGAAAATATGGTTAACACCTTAAAGTTCAGCATCTCTTCATGTGCTTATTGAGCATTGTTTATCTTTGGAGAAGTATCTATTCTAGAGCTTTGCCCATTTTCTAATTGGGTTTTTTGTCTTTTTGTTGAGTTGTAGGAATTTGTTAGTATATTCTGGATTTTAAATCCTGTCAAATAAATGTTTTCAGATATTTCCTTCCATTTTTTTTTTTTTTAATCCTCATCTGAGGATATTTTTCTATTTATCTTCAGATACAGTGGGAGGGAGGGAGAGAAAGAGAAAGAGAGAAACATCAATGTGAAAGAGACACATGGATTGATTGCCTCCCACACGACCCCAACCAGGGCCTGGAACGAACTGTAACTGAGGTGTGTGCCCTTGACCGGAATCGAACCCAAGACTCTTTGGTCCATGGGCTGACACTCTAACTGCTGAGCCAAACTGGACGGGGCTCTCCCATTCTTTAGTTTGTCTTTTCACTTGTTCATAATGTCCTTTTATGTATAAAAGGTTTTTATTTTGATGAGGTCCAATATATTCTTTGTATGTGTGTGTATTTTGTGCTTTTCATTTCATGTCTAAGAATCCATTGCCAAATCCAGTGTCATAAAGATTCAACCCATGTGTTCTTTTAAGAGTTTTGTGGTGTAACTCTCTTATATTTAAGTTGTTGATCTATATCGAGGTAATATTTGTATATGATGTAAGGTGGAAATACATTTGTCCCAGCACCATCTATTGAAGAGACTGGTCTCTTCCCTTTGAATGAACTTTTTGAAAATCAGTTGGCTATAGATATATGGGTTTATTTTTTCACTTGATTCTATTCCATTGGTCTGTATCTATGTGTTTGTCTCTCTGTCCATCTGTCAGTACCACAGCATTTTATGTACTGTAGCTTTGTAGTTAAGTTTTGAAGTCAGGAGGTGTGAGTCCTCCCACTTTATTCCTTTTTCAAGATTCAGCTACTCAGAGTCCCTTGCAATTCACTGATTTTGAGAATGGCTTTTGCCATTTCAAATTCAGTTTTTAGTGCTAATGACTTTTTTTGTGGACTCTTTGAGTGTTACTGCAAATAGAATGTCATCTGTGAATAGAGATAGTTTTATTTCTACCATTCCAATTTCAAAGATGTTTTTCCTTTTTTTCCCCTCACCCGAGGACATTTTTCCATTTTTTGTTCAGAGAGAGTGGGAAGGAGAGAAAGACAGAGAGAGAGAGAGAAACATAAACGTGAAAGGGACACATCGAGTGGCTGCCACCCGCACGACCGACCAGGGCAGGGGACAAATTGCAACTGAGGTAGGTGCCCTTAGCGGGAACTGAACCCAAGTCTCTCTGGACTGCAGACCGACGCTCTAACTGCCGAGCCAAACCCGCCAGGGCTTTTTTTTTTTTTTTTAAATTCTCACCCTAGGACATTTTTGCACTTATCTTTAGATAGAGCACAGGGGAGAAAGGAAAGAAGAGAGAGAGACCTCAAACGGGACTGGGGACAAACAGGTACGTGCCCTTAGC